GGACAGAAAACTTGAGGTCGGATTGTTTTACCGGCTGTGTGAACCACTGATGAGGAAACGACAGTATGAGCACCAGTTCTGTTACTGATCAAAGTGGTTGAATCTGCAGCTGTGCAGGTATTCAGCAGCCAAAAACTGTGATAAAACACACACATGCAACAGTATCCCAGTTTTATTTGGAGTTCTCCAGCTGGTGTAGTTGGATTTGTCAACATCAGGCATTCAGATTTTTGAAATGCGTTGACATGCACAGACACAAAAACACAGCGCCTCAAAAACCCAGATTATAACCAGGATGCTTGAGTCCAATGCCAAGGCACGTTATCTGTACGCTTGCATACTTCACTGTAGTGTAGCTGGTTCTTATATATTTTCAGTGTACGTGAACCTACAGTAGTTGTTAGTGGTTGTTATGAGCAGCAACAAATGAGTACTTTTATATCCCCATAACAGTTTTGGACACCCAGTGGATCTTGCAGTGCAACCATCTATCATCTTTATTACTCCATGCATTCTTCTTTGTCAAAACCCAGTGCAAATCCCCCACAATGCAACTTGATTAGAGATTTCAGTGTGCTGTGTTGCACCAGTAGTAGCTAATGAGCCTGTGAGCTTCAAGCTGAGATGAGGTTATCTGAGATTTTGTAGCTCAATCACAGGATGATGATAGCCTCATTCTTAATTGTGCTACACAGCCTGCATTGGTTGATGTTTTTTTAGTAAAACAACCATCACTGAACACCTAACCTCTTCAGAGCTTTAGAATAAAATCAATGCTTCGTTGTCTCCAAGATGCTCTCCAAGCACAATTGCCTCGACAAGCTTTTCCCTTATAGCAAGCTGACAGCAGAATTTGCTTTTTAAAAAGCACAACTTCTGCTTATTTTGTTGCCCACAACACACAATTTAGCTGCGAGTGCGATTAGATTAAGTCCTTCACATCGTACTATACCCCAGAGCTCACTGGACCCCCGGCTGTGACCCTCCCGTGCTGCTCCGGGTCGTCCGGTGGCCAGTTTATTCAACTGCCAACAGGATGTTTTGCTCTCAGCACATGGCTCATGTTTACCCTCGTGTTTAATGTCAGATTCCTTTCAGCTCCCACAACTCATGTGACAAAAATGCTCTTAGGCTGTTTTTGTTAGTTTTTTGTTGTGGCGTTGCATTTTTTCTGCATTTTTTCCTCCCTAATTGGGTCTCATTGAACCTTGTTGTTTGACTCTGACGGGTTTGTTAAAGTGGAGTAGAGCCGACATTGTACCACAGGGTCCAGTTTTTTAAGTAAGAGCAGCCATTTAATATGTATATCATGTTTCCCCTATTAGATACTGATGTTAAATGAAATGCTTAAAGGAGAAATCTAGTGCAACTGAACATGTGTGATCAGGAGCAGACGTTCGTTCTTGCTGAGTGTCACAGATTCAGCAGCTACTTAAAGTCATCTCTTTCTGTCTGGTCGACATACAGCAGAGCTTTTGCGACGTGTGAATCCAAAGTTCAACAGTTCATCGGTTCTGAGCAGAGTCATGATGATGCTATTTATCTGCTAATGACATAAGTGATTGTGGCCTTCTTGTTGACTTACAGTTTTTATATTTCCCTCATTATTTTGCTACTGACGGAGACTTTACTCTGGATTTACTTTTGTTTAGTCGATAAAAGAATGCCGAGACCGCAGAAGAAGAGCAACTGGTCTGCTGCACGAGACGGTTTTTCGCCAGACAAGTGGGAAAAGCAGTCTGTTTGATGTCGCTGTTCTCCTTTTTGTTTGTCTTACAGGAAACTGCATCAGGGTCGGTCTTTCATAATCTCTGATGGCTTCGGGCCACCTAAGACTTGAATGCTTCTGTCAGAGCTGTTTTATGATAAACCAAATGTTGGATGTAAACACTTAAGCATGCCATTATCAGGACAAACCAAATATGTCTGCGTTTGTGTGACCGCGCCACGGATTGCTTCATCGTCAGCTGCTGTAAAGCCATTATTGAGACTGATGTTTACTATCATGTTAGTTCATCTATGAATCCTTTATCAACTAATTGCTTGCTCTGCAGCTCAAATTCTCATTTTGTGTGGCAGTTATAGGCTAAAAGTGTATGACTTGAGATAAAGAAAAGCAAACAAATGTTAAAATCTGAGCAATATGACCAATTTATTTGTATTTTTACCAAATAAATTGCTTATAAGACTATCCAATATTAAAACTGTAGATTAGTTTTTATCTTAAATTGCTAAATGAAGCCGTCTTAGCTAATAAAATTTTAACTGTAATTCACATCAATGTTTACATCTGGCTGCATGCCCTTTCCGCCGTCATTATCAGTCTTGTCTGTTATCTGATTATGCGCAGCATTTGGCGGCACGCCGAGAGCATATCTGCAAGCATCAGCTATTTGGTAAAGTCACTGTTGGTTTACACAAAAATCAAAGGCTCTTGAGGCAGCTGAAGATGCGTCCAACGTTACTTGGAACAACCTTGTTATTTCCCCATCCGTGACGGATTTCATTTGTTAATGGCACTCTCGCCTGAGTGTCACAACAGTTGGAATTTTCCAACAGTTTCCAAAAGCAGGGGATGTGATTAAACCCTCGGCTGAACTGGTCGGTGTTGTAGATCAATGGATTTGTACTCTTCCGTGGGCGAAGTATTGAACTGAGCGGTGCAGATTAAGGAGAATATAAGTGACAGAGGGATGATTCTTGGCAGGTGTGTCTTGATGTTTATGGCCATTTTTATTAAAACCAGTCGCTGATTCACTGTTCTGTTCTCCTACGTTGGCCAAAGGTTTCCGATATTTCCTTTTATTAGTCCTCTGGTTTGAATGACGAGCTAAGGGGCGGCCAGGATTCATCATTATAAGTGTAATGGGGTGGCGAGCGTTTGGTGTAAACAAATTTCATCTGAGATTAACTCACCTGTTGAATCGAGGCAGACCAGACTCTCCATCTTCATTATCTTGGCTCTTGACTTGTTTACTACAAAGCCTTTGTGAGCACTAAACGCTCCTGATGCAGGCGGTGTGAGCGTTGTTTCTTGTGATAAAGAAACTGTTTAGTCAGGGTTTATATTCTGAGTCTTAATGTTTCTCACACTTCCATTGCGGTCATTAAGCAACACTGTGCAGGTGTAGCATCATTTTAATGGGAAAAGGTTTTAAAAGTTTAAGGAAATTTAACATAAAACTTGAGCAAGATTAGCCAGATCTAAAAGATAACAACAGTGGTGGTGGAGGAGTGTAATTCACCATGTGGTCGCATGTTTTTTAAATATATTACGTGGGGCTGCAATCAATCAATTTGTCAGTTATTTTCCTCCATTTATCATTGGCCGTCACAGTTGTTCTAAAGCCCAAGACTAAATCAGCACATTCGCATACGATTGTGAAACTTGAACCGGAGAACTTTTGGCACTTTTTCTTGGGAAAACAACTGAAACGGTTCGTCGGTTCTCAAAATGTTTGTTCGTTTAATTTTAGATCAGCTGATGAATTAAACATTTCAGCGCTAATGCGGTCCATCAAGAAGTTAAAGACCCCCTCTGGTTAAAATCTGCTTTCTTTTAAACCTCGTTAACATGTCTATATTGTGCTTTCTTTACGTTCTAGAATAAAATATCAGAAGTGAAATATGGTATGACTGCGTTTACCGATGATAGTGTCTAAAAGCAGATCAGACGTTGAGCATTTTGCATGTAAAAAAAACAAATCTGTCGGCTCTACAGATCATCAATCTTCTTCAGAATTAGTTTCTGGTTCCAACATGTATTACAACTCTCCATCATACGGTGTTAAGTAGTTTTACAGCAGAGACGTCTGTTAGTCGGTGTGCTCGAGCTGCAGCGAGTTGGGAGATGTGGGTGGCGGGAAAAGCAGGGACTTTATACAGTAACATCTGAGCCATTTTCAGATTATTTTCATGGTGAAAAGTTTCTAATGATGTAGTTTTATCAATGGATATAAGTTTTTAGGGGATTATTCAGTGGCTGGATTGGAGCTTTTCAACTCCTCAGTCCGTTTTAGATTCAGTACAGTTCAAACATTCGCTCTGAAATAGAAGATGAGACATCGTAGGATTTTGGTTTTCTTCTAATCATAACATCGTTCTTGTTGTTGCACTGAGGTCAGCATTTAGGACTCGACTATACAACCCACAATGACTCTGCTGCTGCTGCTCGTGACCCAGATTTACAGTACGCAGACAGCAATAGATCCTTCTCGAGAAATCTGGCCGAAATGCATCATTAAACCTTCGCTGTACTCCCAAATGACAGAGCAACATGAGAACTCTCCTTGGATAGCAGATATGTAGTTTGCATCAACAGAGCTGCCACAGTCAGAAGGACTTGCAGATGTGTTGGAGCGGCTTCAGGCCCGACCTGCTCTCTGCTTCCATCCAGCATACTGTATCAGCTGAGGGAGTTTCTTGGCATTTTCACCTGCTCGGAAAATTACTTAAAAACTTCAGGGCTATTCTAAGGGCTTAGTTTGTTTACAGGTGATGTGGGGCGATCTTGTAGCTCGTGAGTTTTTCATTTACTGTAGCAGCCAAGGCCAGAAGTTTACAGTATGCTGACAGACAAATTTCAAAAAGTGTGAAAGCCTTTTTTTTTAAAAATAAGAAGTGAGAAACCGACACCAGTCGACCCGAGCGGGGCACGAAACACTCCATTAACGGCTACTGTAGAACGCTCAAATATTTTTACTGTATCCATCAATTTGTTACACGGAAGCTGTATCCAATCTCTGGGATTATAGAAAATTACTTGGAACATTTTATTCCATTCCTGCAAATCAGCACTATCAGTAGCGGTGCCAAACACAATATCCAAAGAAATCGAGATCCACCGTAAACACAGCTTTGAATGAAGATACCGTAGCATTTTGAGGGCCGGTTAATCTGTGTGTGATTTGGCAGCGTTAGGGTTACTTTGTGCGTTCAAAACTGAGTGGCTCTGTGCGGTTTTTCTGAATTTATTTTTCTCTTTCTCTGTCTCGCTCTAGCTGCCTCGGAGGGGAGAGTCAATGGCGGGGAGGATTTCTTTCAGAAGGTGAGTGTGCAGCCCGTGATGTTTTTGCTTTGTCTTTGGGTTGCGTTCGAGCCCACTGAGCAGCACTTGGTAAGGGAGCAGATGTCAGGTGCTCCCTCCATGTCACTCCTAATCACAAATCTAAACAAATAGAAACAATGGAATGACACTGACGTTCAACCACTGCAGGGCTCTGATGCTATAACGCAGCTGACACAACACTCGGGCCTTTCTCACTTACATAATCTACCATAATATACCAGATTGTTTAAAATGATGCTGAACACACGCCTGCTCATTCCAGTACTGCCTCACCAACTTAGGATTTTCATATTCACAAAGTTCACTTCATTCAATAAAAAAAAGAGGATTTGCTTCAGTGATCTTGTCTAGTCTTGAATGGAGGGCAACTTGCTCATTCTCTCACTGGTGCACATTGATCAGTCGACTGTGAGACTCTGTCTGGATTTAAAAAGTTATTCTACAGTTTAAATAGTTCTTTTATTACCAAACGGTCTTTCACACAAGCTCTAATGGCGAGGATTAATTTTCTAAAGTACAAAGCTGAAGCAGTGGAATCGTTTTCTTACATTCACTAATGACTCCACCAGCTTTTATTCTTTCAATTAATCCTGACCAGAGGTGGCAATCGGAACAATATAAAACATTGATGGCTACAGACAAATTACCCTAATAAGACTTCCCAAAATAGACAGTGTTAGTTAGGTTAATGAAATAGAGACTGGAGAGACGTGTCAGCTTCTAAAGCTCAACAGTCACGACACTTTTTAAGGTCATTCATGGTGTCCGTAACTTTATGCTTTGTGAATAATTCAGATTTTGAAAATAGACAGCAGATGCACATTGTTGCTCATAGTACAATAGGTGCATGTCGGTCTGCACGCAGATGGTCACGCTGGCTCATATATTGAACACAGAGAAGCTCCCAGGGCTCCTGTGCATGTTTCTGAAAGGCTATGACTTTTTACAGGGCACAGCAGCTCCTTCCAGATTGAGCTGTAGCACCATGTTGATGTGATTATTTCTGAGGTGTACCAAACACAGTGGGTGGACATAGCACAGGATTTCTGCAGAGTTAAGAACTTCCCACTGTATCATCGATGGAAAGCCTATAGCTACAAATCAAAGTCCAGCAGCGACTGCTTCAGCTACAGCTCTTTTGGTGATGAATTGAAAACTCGCGGGTAACGGTGAATCTCCTTGCACAACGTCTCCTCAAAACTTGTGTTGAGCATCACTTGTTTTCCTGGTTTGCACACAGATGGCTGGGGACCCTTGCAAACTTGTGTAAACGGCAAAATTTACATCATGCTGACCCTTGAGGAACCCTGCAGACATGCAGGTGCTGAAAACACGAGTTGGCCTTTACAGGTCTGACGTGAACATGTTGGTGGTGTTGCAATACAGGGGGGCTGCTGAAGCCCCTGTTTGGCCATTAAGTGAGTAAGACAGTCCCAAAGGGTTCTGGCCACTTAAAGCCCAACCGCAAACAAATAGCTCAAAAAATAACTTTTCCGAGGCGCCACTATAGCTCACCTGGTCCCATGTGCAGGCCTACAGTCCCAATGTGGAGGTCATGAGTTTGAATCCCGCTCATGACCCTTTCCCACATGTCCTCCCCCCATTCTTCTCCCCTACTTTCCTGTCTCTCTCTCACTACCACTATCCAACAAAAGCCAAAAAAATAACTTAAAAAAATAAATAAATAAATAAAACAACTTTTCCTAACAAAGACCATGAATTTGACAAATTCAGTTAATAATTTAAGAATGCAGAGTGCTAGCTTTCACTGTCTCAAGCACCAGTAATTAGACTTATCCCTTGTAATTAGTAGTGAGAAGAATCTCAGGCACACGATGCAACAGACTGAAACGTTACTATGTGCTCAGTTGGCATTACTATCAGAAACAACCATTAACATTACTTTATGTGTTGTGCAATCAAAAGGTTCTTGGACTACAACGGTTCTGTAATCTCCTTGTGCAGTGATGCACTGTTTCCTGTGCTTCTGCTCACTTGTATCACTCCCTGGAAGTTCTGTTACATAAACATGTCAAGCACCATCTGCAGTGAGTGTTAAATGTCCTAAGCTGTGAAAAAACAGTGCACAATCACTATGTGGTGACCGCATTGGGGTGGCTACATACCCAATATTACCACATTTCAGGTTGTTTGTGGCAAACGGTCTTGCTCAGACAGCTAAAGATGTTAGAGTAGAACCCTTGGGGATTAGTTCCCGATGCACAACCAGGTGAATGGTGAAGACCACAAGTAGGCTCCTGACCTGAAGAGCCTTGTCCACTTTAGGAAACTGCAGATTCTTCTGTAAAAACTACAGTTTCTTCTCTCTGTGGTAGCTGCAGAAGCACCTCTCGTAAATAGGGATGATTCTCAACACATTCATGTTGAGCGTTTTGGTCCTGGGCTGCTGACTGACTGAAATCAAAAGTTGGCATCATTCAGCGTTTACAAAAGCATGTGAACCACAGGTCCTGCTGTGGATACGAGGTGTCATGTCGTCTCCTGACTCTAGACAGCTACTGCTTGCACATGTTGGCGTGCGGACACACAACACATACATGCCTATGAACTGGCATCCAGATTGCCCAGAAGCAGTGTGTTTTGTATAAATGCTCGTTATTGCCGCATCTGATTTTAGTATTGGCATGACAGTTTGAAATGAAGACTGAAAAGACGCTGAAAATAAAAACCTTTTTAACAATGAAAGCTCACTGTTGACCCTAAAATGAATTTTGACACCAGATAGTTTAAAGGCATCTTGTTAACTATGTGGTTCTCTTTAAGTATCTCAAGTGGATTCATTTTTGTTTAAAACCCAGCTTCCTGATTATGCTAAACTCCCTCTAGTATGTTAAAGGGCGGTAATGAAATATATGATGGACAGCGGTTTGTTTTAGCAGTCCTCCTTTGTCTATTTTCCGTATTTGGGTTTTTTGAGGTTAGGAAGCTCAGCTAAATGTCAAAGAAGGAGGCAATTTAACTGTCCCTGAAGCAGTTTTCAAAAACCCAAGTAATGCAAACCAGGCGCCTTAAGATTCCCCTCATTGGAATTTTAACAAGGACTCTAGATACTGTACTGTAACTCTGCCTCCACCTCTTTTGGTCTGGACAGAACCATAATGTTTAGGATTTCCAGTGTAGACGTCTACCCCCACTCCACAAAGCCATCCTGATAAAATACGGCTGTTGGCGTATTGACTTTGCCAGCCATGTTTTTTAAAGTCTTTTGGCTTGAATATTGTCACAGCTTGTTCAAAGAAACAGTGGTTACTTGAGGTTAAATTGTCAATTAGAAATTAGTGTGCAGCTGTTTGAGTTGGCAGGCTGGCGACGGGCAGTAAAAGAGGAGTACTAAAGTCATGTTTTTATTGTAGAATTTCCATTTGGATAACTCTGTATAGTTTCCCTCTGATAGCGTGATCACCATACATGCCCAATTAAAGTCAGGAAAATAAACACCGAGCGCGACTGTGGAACCGTATTGTTGAAAGAAAATGGATGAGGTGTGTGAAATACCTTGAAGTTGATGAAAATGGAAACTCTTAGTTGGACCGCTTCCTGCCCGTCCAACACACCCATGTACCTCACACACTCATTCAGACTAATAAAGTACATGCGTAGACACTCTTTCCCTCACGTAAGAACGCATATGGTCATTTTTGACGCACACACTCTTTTGCACACGAGGCTTTGGGAATTTGTAGTTGCCTCAGCAGTGAGATTTAGACTCCGGTCGCTGACAAGAGCAACATAAAACGGTCCCACCCCCGCACTTTCTCCCCAGGTCCGCATGCTGTGGCTGATCAAACCCCTCTTACTCACTGTCTGCTGGACTTCCTTTGAGTTCTGAACAACTGTTTTGTAATGGAGAGCAAACAGTCCCCGCTATTCAACAGTAAAGAAGATGGCAGACAGACCACAGGAGGATTGCCCCAGCTGGGAAATTAGCAACGTGCAAGTCCCTGCAGCCCACATGAGGGAATCTCGCCTGCTACGTCCCTCCGTCTTTTCAGTTTTTGTTTGGGTCTTCTATGTCTCCCTCACGTTTTCCCTCTTCTCTCGCCTCTCCTCTCCCCCTACTGATGTTTCAATGTTATTTCGTCTTTGCGCTCTATCGAACCGCTGGCGACTCATTGTTATCAGTCTGCTGTGACACAGGGGGATTTCTCTACAAGTGAAGTTCTTGATTGTGTTACAGAAAGCGTGCATCAGTGAACAGTTCAAAGTTTTTGGAGCATCAGAACATGGCACAGACCAGTAAGCTGTTTTGGAAAGCCGCGTGGAAGTTGAGTCTTGGGGCAGCAAAGAGTCAAGACGCCCGGCTGGTTGAGACGATAACTGTGCACCACAGAAGGAGCTTGGAGTGGATTTGAGTTGTGCCTTTGAACCTCCAGCCAGTTCATCCCTGATCCCTCCCCCTCCAACTTCCATCTCTCCGTCCCAGAGGTTGTGGTTCTGTAAATAATGCCAGGCGTGATATATAAGTGCCAGTGCACTCAGATCTGAAGCCAGGCGTAATTCATTTCATTTGGTTTGTAGCACTGAAGCATCTTGTGTTTCATTGCGCTGACACAGAGCAAATATGAAAAATTGAGACTGTCAGGATGAAATATTTGGGTTGGCAAAAAAAAAAATAAAAAAAAATCATGAGATGTTGAAATATCTAGGTCAGTGTGAGTGGCATCAAAACACGCATAAACAAATGTTTGTGTTTCATCTGACGCTTCGAATTATTGTGCGTCAACCAGTGAAGGATGTGTAGGCTTAAATTAATTTCAGGAGCAGAATGTTTTCGGCGAAAGTGCCCCCCTCGCTTGTAATGTGTGCAGCTCTTTCATAACCGTGCATATGTTAGCCGGGAGGAGTAACGGGGCTGTAGCTGCGAGTTAGCACTCGGATTGTTAACATGACTGTTGAGTCTCGTGGGGATGCTTCGGTCGATGCTGTCAGCTTCGAGCACCGCTGTTCTCTCAGCCTCTTAACTTTGCTTACAACCGCTTTGCACCCCCAAAAGCCCTCTGTGTCCCCCTCACACACACACACACACACACACACACACACACACACATTCCAGCTGAATCAACAGCTGCAGCGAGGTCCAGGAAACATGCCTCTGCCATGTCGATCGCTGCCGTGATATACGTACACACACGGGGTCACGTGTGTCGAACGCATGTGCCGTCTTTAAGGACATTTCCTTAACGATATCCTGTTAGATTTTTTTTTACGTGGAGCTCTGCGACACATCTGTATACGCCAGCTGCAGGCCTCAAAGAACCAATCATCATGTCAAGGTCGTGCCATGAAACTTATCAGAGCCATTTCTCTATTTATGCATTTCAGGAAAAAGGGTGGGGCAGCAGAGAAGAAAGGGCGGACCGGTAAATGTATAGGTTACTTAATTTTGTGCAAATATCTTGACCCATTTGAGAGGTATTTGCGAGCCCCCCTTCATAAAAATAAACACCATCCACCCTTTAAAATGGTGTGTGGTCTGTCAGAAATCAGTCCCATCTGCACAACGCTGCCAAGAACAGCAATGCTGGACAGGAAACAGGTTTCTCTGAACAAAGCCCTTTTTACAGAAAAAATGACGAGGCACAACAGCGTAATGTCTGATGATTTTCAGAAAGCGTAACTGATGATCTGAAATGATGTCATTTTTTTTATCAGCTTTACAAGTTTTCTGTTGTTTCTACATTTATGTGAAAAGGGAGGAAAGCACATTTGGAAAAAAAGCATTTTTATATGGAACTCTCCATCAGTCATCTGCCTTTTGTTCCAAACGTTGCCGCTATGATTTCAACAAGCTCTGAGAGTGTTATATTTGTTTAATTTCTCCTTTTACGCCTTCTTGATAAAACCCAGACGCATCCGTCACTGTCAAAGGGGGACAGATTTTAAGAACCGAAGTCAAAAAAGTTCAAGGCAAAGAGCGAAGGAAGAATTTCTCCTCATCACGGAGAACAGAATGTCCTTCTAATATTGTTTGTGATACATCCAGCTGTTGGTGAAAACATGAGGCTTCAAGTGGGTGAAGAAAAAGTTTGCATTCAGCTGCAGGGGTATTTGTGATTTATTGTCCTTTCTCAAAGATACCAGACGACAGTGGGGAGGGTGTCATGCTGGAGATTAGACCTGCCTGTGCCTCTAGCGAGTATGAATCCCCGTAACGAAAAAAAAAAAAACTCATCAGATTTTGGTTTCGGGCTTGAATTTCACTGCGTGTAAAACCATTCTGAGTGAATAGATTGATAATATTATTGCAACACTTGTGAAACTATTTCAGAGGGGAGGCATGGAGAACAAAAATGGGGTGATCATTAACAGGCTGGATGCTAATGCTGAAACTATTTTGGGTCATTTTAATGGTACCACAAGCGGATTCCGTCTAAAAATAGTTGAGGGAGATCATCTGAGAGGAATTTAGCTTCGTTTTTATTGCACAATATGATACTGAAATTCTGTTGGGCTCCCTGATTCACTCAGGTGGAACTGGAAGTAAACACAGAGCCGCAGGCAGGAGACATCACAGCCATTAGATGATGATAATAATAGTTCCAAAAGATATGCAGTTTGGATTAAGAGCTTTAGAGAGAGCGGAGGAGGATTGTAGCAAAACATCAATAAAGATGCATTTTGTCGTACAAATGTGTTGTGCAATGATTTTATTGGCTCGCAATGTTCCGCTTTATGGGTTTTTATGAGGAAGGCATGTTTTGATGAAGAACAGACACTTTTGAAGGAAGAGTTGTTGAAGAATAGCTCTCGCAGCTGGCACTGGGGATGGAAAGGTGCTTTAACCCTCTGAAGGTTTTGTTCCTGTCACTCACTGCAGCACAAACAAAAATCTCTCAGCGTGACACGGTTGTAACGCCCTAAATCATAAAATAAGACAAATGGAAGTTTAATTTCTTTGATTATTCACTTTACAAACGTTTCGTGCCTGTAAGTATTACAAATAATGGAAAAGTGGTGCCTCTGCATACTATAGATGTTTGACTACTTACATTTTTTTCTCTCTGTGTAAACACAGCCTGCAGTTCAGCCCAAAAGTCCTTGAATTTTTGTCAGTCGTGGCTTCTCGGCCATGCCAAAGAGCACAGGATTTGTTGATTTTCACAGAGTCTGGTTTCTGCAAATGGTTTTATGTTTAGCCGTCTAAACAAGATGTGTTGAAAAAAAGTGATTTTGATTAAACGTCCCAATTTTCAGCTTAGATTTAGTCGTTCCTCCACATGAAACTGCGAGTCACATGCGATTAGTTCAAGGACTGTTTGAAAATTAAGACTCTGATGATTCTTCTGTTTGTACAGTTCCTTGCTCTGATGAATGGTGTTAAAAAATAACATGCCTTTCAACCCCACCTGTGAGCTTTAGGGTTCAAATGATTAATAGAGGTTACATTTTTCACTTCACTTTTAGCTTTCTAGTGGCAGAGTTGCTGGTCCGGGCTCTCCATTTTTTTCTTATATGTGATTATAGGATGTAGAAAATCAGTGAGGCTTGAAAAGGCTTCCAGTCAACCATCATGGATTCGGCATATAGCTGCAGAGTAAAGCGAGGCACGCATCAGGCCTCAGTTTCACAGGTGTGTGAGACTGGCAGCGGATAAGCTGTCAGCTTTTGTTGTACAGGATGCCAAACAGGCCATGCAACGTCCAGAGAGGCATATGGAGGAGGTTAGCCACTTCCCTTTTTGATTCATGCACCAGTTAGGAATGCAAGCTTGACTGAAAAATAGCAGATTATAATTTAAAAATGACGCCCGTGAATTGCGGTGCTGTTAAGCCGAGCATCTAATTTATTAGGGAGCGCTGATTAATCTTAATGCGCCTTCTCTCCCATCTGACTTGCAAGCGTGTGGCTTATTGGCTTTAATGCACCGGACCACCGAGGAATATTAAGTGGCAGCCGCTGCTCATGTAATGGCTCGGAGCGGTCCTCGGGCGCTCGGTCACGTGGCCGAAACTTCCAGAACTTTGAGAAATTCATATCTTCTCCACCCCGAACACACAAACCCCTGGAAAGTATTAAAACAAACAGAAGACCGCAGGACGTTTGTGAAAACAAGGATAGAGCTCATCGAGGACAAATGCATTAGGAGGAGAGACGGAGAACGTCAGCTTCTCGTTTTTTGGAAAGTTTGACCGTTTTTTTTTTTTTTCCCTCCCCTTGTTTTCAATATCAGCTGCTCCTCATGACACACAGTTCAGATGGGTTTGGTTAGTGGGTTTGTAGTAAGAAAGCCAAGTAAGGTGAGCTTCCTCCTGGTCAAAAAGGCAGGAGGTTACAGATTTCCGGTTATTGGAATACTTAAGCCTCTTGACCTGCTCCTTCCTCTGCCTGTAGCTTTTTCCTCCTCTGATGGATACGTTCCTGTCAGATGACTCCCCGTATAGATGGTCATCAGCATCTCTCATATCCAAGTATATTCAGTGTTTAATTCATTTTTTGTTATGTTTTCGTGGTGTTAGCTGGAGGGATTTGTGTTTTGAGCCACTACACATGTTTAAACTGAACCTAATCACAGCTCCTTTGGCTTCGCTCCCTGACCGTTCTTTAACCTAAGATTATTTTCTTTTTAGGCGATTTTAATATTCTTCCCCACTCGTCTGTGTTTATTCTTAAGTCCTTGCTACAGTTCTCTAAAGGAAACAAAAGATAGGAGTCAGCTGATTATCGGCCGAGCTGATTGTTGGATCTTCTGATTAGGGGTGCGTTTTTTTGTTTTTTTTTTAAATCCATACCTGATAAAATACATTAGTTTAAATAGACGTTCTCTATCTGTAGTAGATGCTTTGTGGTCTTGAGCAATGTCCCACCAACAGAACGATCTGATTGGTCATAAATCACAAGCAATAGCTTTTTAATACTCAAGGATAAATGTTGAAAAGTTCTCTTTTTTTACTTAAACATATGTGTAACTTAAGTAAATAATAGGCCTTTTAACTAAGCTTTCTGTTGTCATTGATGTTCTTCTACATTTTAACACTGAGATTTTTCATTTTTGTTGCAAATCCATATTAATTACGGATATGAATCATTGATCTCCTTGATTACTTGCAACCTCTATAGGTATTTGTGCTTAAAAAATAAAAAAGTCAGGGTTTGCTAATGCATGAGAGTCAATATGAGATAACTGTCCACACACCAAGCGAAGCAAAATCCGCATGAAGACGCAGTGGTCCTGACTAAAGCCCAATGGATGCTCGGTTTTTGCAACCAATATTGATATTAACATGTGAAATAACTGTGATTATTTAATATATATTAGCTGATGATTATGATAACATATGCTGCAAACTGGTGTTGCTGTAGAACAAAGCAGTGATGACTGTCAAGACTCAAGAATCAGGATTGTGTTTTTGTTTTTTTCCAGCCGACTCACAGTATCTGCCAACAGATAAGCTAATGCCCAACTTCCTTCTCTCTTTCCCAGATCATGGATGAGACCCAAACGCAGATAGCCTGGCCCTCCAAACTGAAAATCGGAGCAAAGTCCAAAAAAGGTGACTATTTTTTTCTTCCTTTTACATCTCACATTCAGACTCTTCCGTGCACTGCTTCCATTGCTGTTGTCATGTGCGACTTGAGTTTTCGCTGGTGGTCTCTTCTGGACGAAATGTATAAATCTGATTTCAAATAAAGATCTGTAATTTCTAACATATGTCCCAACGACTCTAAGCTTGAGTTGTGTTCCTGTCCAAGATGGGTTGAGTCAGTGTTGAATTAGCCAGAAATATGTTCTCTGGAAAGTCAAGACGGACGAGAGGGCAAGTATTTCAAGGTTTTACCGGCGTTCATTATCAGAAAGTTAATTGAGCACTTTAGAAAGATGAAAGCTTGCATGTTTTCCATTCTTTACAAGCCAACAACTTCATCTGCACGGAGGAATTTGCGACTTTTTTTTTGTTTTTGCTGTGGAGGAGGAGGAGGAGGAGGCGTGGGAGTTGCTTGTACCGAAGCTCACGCGTTTATTATCCGAGTTGTTCCAGTTGCTCTGTTACCAATAAAACATTATCACGGTTATTTAAAGCTCTTCCGGGAGGGAGGAGAGGGGAGGAGGAGGGGAGGCGGGGATTGAGGGGTAGGTGTAGCTGTGCCTACTTTGTTTTCCTCAGGAGAATTGCCGGTGTGCGTCTTCAAGCCAGATGTGCGATCCATCCATATTATGTAACTTCCTCCGTCATTCCGTACAGACAACAGTTGATGGGGTTACATCAGAATCTTTCACACCCCCCATAACACCCCAACCCACCCTCTCTGGACAATTTACCAACTGTAACTCCTGGCAAGTCCTTCACACACACACAACCCTCGATTCACCCCAAGTGTCGGTTCATTCACAAAACCTGCCTCCACCTGGGAGGGATGTCGTGCGCACGAAGCGAGAATATTTCAAGTTCGTGATTTGTGGGCTGTCAGATTTTCTCTCTGCGTTGCATAAACCGAGAGGGGGGAAGAATGTTGGATAATCAGTTATGAGCGAATACATTTGTGGGAGAAGAGACACGAGGGACTGTGGTGCTTTAACAACATGACCTCACGGGATTACTGGAAGGACAGATAAGGGCCAAGATGGCTAAGTTTAAGTCCATCTATCACACATCAGGCGGGCTTCAATTAGACTGAAGATGCATCACCTGATGATTAAAGCCTCACAGATCTACATTCCATTCGTCCCTCATCACATAACGCTGGACGCGACCCCCGCAGAACCCTTAAAATAGCGCATGACGAAGCTGTTTTGTCGGAGGGGCATCGCGGCGGATTATTTTCAGCCATCCTGATCTCAAAAAAATCATCGTCTTTAAAGGGTGTTAGTTTGTTTTTTTTTGGAATTCTGCGTCACTGTTGTGCAGTCTGGAATCGGTTTACACTCAGCGGGACAGCAGCAGATGTGAGCGGACTTGTATGTTTGTAACCTCTTCGCATGCGGGGCCACACTCCATCAAAATGCCAGCTCCTCTGTTTCATTTATCACCTGCAGCTACACATCTCTGCCACCTGCATAAGTGTGATAAGGCCAGTTGTTAGCCTCCGGGCCAAGCTTTCATCAGCACACTGTCAGTGATTTAATACAGCCGGGACCTATATCGCTCATGCACGAGGCGGGCCTTTGCTGCAATTTAAGTGGTCAGCACTGTGGGATGGTCTTTAGGTTTTTAAACGTGTTTTAATTCTAAAGCTTTGACATTTAAGGCTTTGCTTTTCTGTGATAATCATCTCATTATTACTTCTAGTTGACTCCAATTGTGTGTTTCAACATTTCTGCAGATGTTTTGAATGAGAAACCCCCAAGCCAAAGGGACTTAATACTCTTCATTTGTGTGTTTTGTTTTTTTTTTTTTTAAATGCAGTCCTTAGTTGGAAAAAATGCTTTGGCTTTGCCAGCAGAAAGCTCTGGGTCAAAAGGTTTTCTCTCTGTCAAGTGGAACTGTGTAAAATCCGTGCGACTGAAAACACTCGCTATTTTGCAGCTGCGAGCCCGCTCTTGTTTTTGTTTGTTTTTATAGGTGTTGCGTGTGCCAAATTAGGACTTAAGGTGTTCATTTTTTATTCCACAATCAATCACCCGAAAAAGAAAAAAAAAGAAAAAGCACAGAGCAGACTCCACTTCAAAAATGCGGGGGTGTTCTACATCACGACTGCAACACTCGTTTAGGCCGGCTAATGTTTGCCAGATGTGCTGTGTGCAGGTTGGAGCGGGAGGGGGGGGGACACACTGGAAGAGCCATACTCCCTCTAACGGCTGCAGTCGGCGCCGCAGGAGGAAGTTGAGAGATTTCCTTTGTTCATAGCAACAGCTCAATGATGGGAAAATTTCCTGAAAGCAGTGCTGAGGCTGCGATAGCTCCCTGACCGCTCTTTGTGCTCTTTTTTCTTTTGTTTTCCCATCTCAGGCTTTTTTTTTTTTGCATAGTTCTTAAGCTGTTGTTATTCCCTCGTGTGATGTAGCAGGACTGCAGTTAGACAAAAACACTAAATGAACTGACCTGTTGGAGGTTTTTCACTCCTGAGCTTCTAAAAAGTCTAACTATGCATGCATGGTCCCGATGACTTTGTAACAATATATCTGCTCCAGTGAGTCCCGTCTGAAGGCTACACTGTACATCTGATGCTGTAAGTGTGTGTGTGTGTGTGTGTGTGCATATGGGGAGGGGTATTCCTGGAAGGGGGCTTAGTGGACTTCCTGCTGCTCAGTACAGTTAACACAGGGGCGATGGACCGTGGGTGTGTAGTACGTGTGTGTGTGTGTGTGCACATTTTGAATATGTGCGTGCGTTCACGTGTTTTTGCATTTGCATTCTCCAGGGGTCCGGCACGCCGCAGAGCCAGATGTAGGCTTACCCAACTCTGCATAGACGCAAGCATTAGCTTTGAATGGTTTAGGTATGCAGTGTTTGGTTGTTTTAACTGGGCTATTTAGAAGCCCTGGAGGCCTCTAGGAGCGCAGTTTACTCAAGTTATTGCGACCTTTCCTTGCATGACTTTCAGTGCGTGTCCTGCGAGTGTGTTTACACAGAAAATTAGGACGTTAGAATTCTGTTTCTAACTGGTGTCCTGTTGTTTCTTGAATCTGAGCAAACCGCATTTGTTCAAAGTGTTTGAGAAAGGAGGAAGATAAATAGTTGTAATGCAATTTTGCAGTTAGAAATCAAGAAAACAAGGTGAGCGTCTTCTGTCGAGGCCACAATTATCTCCAGCACATCTGTGGGCTCTACAGGCTGATGGATCGCCTGAATATAATTCCACAGAGACGAAACCCCCCTCCCTATCTCTGGAGCAGGCTGGTTCGCCCGCCGACTTAAATGAGACTCGGCAGATATCAAAGCGGCAATTACTGTCGCAGAGCTTTTCTCTGATGCGCTGTAATTTGTTGACAAATGCAGACTGTTGTGCCATGTTTGGTTAAATGGGTTTAACTTGTGTCTCATCTTCACATTCTGTCGCTGCCCTTTATCATCACAGTGAACGTCCACAGACATAAAACACATCCTCAGTTTCTCCCACTTTTAATGTTCGCTGTTGCCTTTTTTTTTTCCCCCTACAGATCCACATATCAAGGTGTGTGGAAAGAGGGAGAACGTGAGGGAAGCCAAAGACAGAATTATGTCTGTCCTCGACACAAAGGTACAATAAACACTTTATATCACGTTGACGCTTCATGTGTAATTCTCTGCTCTCCCTACTCTGTATGTTTCTCAACCTTTCCTTGTATTAAGTTGCACTGAATCTATTCCCCCTCAGCTCTCCTGCTGTCCAAATGACAGATTGCACACAGCATTGTAGGAGAACTTGTCAGTAATCAAACCAGATACTCGCGTCTCAAGCCTGTCATGGATTGCAGTGTGTGTGTGCATGCAGGCTTCGTTGCCATGGCAACACTAAGAAATCACATACCTGGCCGTCGGCGCTGTAGCCCCCCCTGGAGGCAGGAAGTCATCTGTGCAACTCGGGCAGCCACACACAGAAGAGCAGCACGGGATCGGTTCTGTTTATAGCTTTTCATATGGTTTTGTCACGAAAAGGCTTTTATTTTTCTGGCAGATGCAGCCGAGTTATTTGATAATTGGATTCATTTTTTAATATACTGCATATTTTGTTGCTCGTTTCTTTTCTCTAAATGACTGCAGCATGTGAAAGTGCTTAAAGGAAGGGAAATTGTAAATTTGGGGTCTTGTGACTGTTTAGATAGTGCAGAGGAGACAGATGTTGCTCTGGAGTTTCAGTGAACCAGGATTTACAATCACAGGAGCAGAGTGGAAATCAGTGTCATGGTGATTTATGCATATTAAAATGTTACGAAGCCATAAAAAAGACAAATCTGATATGATCAGGGGTTATGGAGAGAGCTGGATGCTTCTGTTGGATACACCATCGAGCCTCAGGGACGCTATTAACTGCTCTGTATGTAGATAGCTGCGTTTCCCGTGGGGCGCTCAGTTCACTACAGCAGTGATTTTTCTATTACACATCCCCATGATTACCTTACCTACTGAGATACTGTACAAACATGTTTTCATTTCACCCCTCCACTCTCTCTCTTTTTGCTCATCAGAGCAACAGGGTGACTCTGAAGATGGACGTTTCCCACACAGAGCACTCCCACGTCATCGGCAAAGGCGGCAACAACATCAAGAGGGTGATGGAGGAGACGGGGTGCCACATCCATTTCCCCGACTCCAACAGGAACAACCAGGCGGAGAAAAGCAACCAGGTTCGAGCCTCATCAAATGATTTTTACTTTAATGTCCTGTAACACCTCGCCGCACCCCGAGAATTGCTTTGAGGTTTGCATTCTGCTGCCTCGAGTGTTTCCTGTCGTCAGCCTCTCCACAGTTGATTTTCTTCAGTGGCGGGTTGGTAGGTGTCAGGTTCTAAACAGCTCTTTGATCTGCGCACGCAGTCCTCCGGTTCATTTACGAACTGTCACGGGGTCTCAGAGTGGACAGGTTGCAGGAGGGTTGGTCCAGTTTGATGTTTTGATTGGCCAGCCCAGAGGAAGCTGGTGTGTTTTGGCTGGACTCAGTAGAAGAGCGGTAGGATCCGCTTGTAATTACCATTAAAGTGTAGTATGAGGAGTTCAGGGGAGCACACTGCCAGGCGGAGCATTAGATATGTATCTCTGCCGGCTGCTCCACTGTACACCTGTGTATGAAAAGCACTGACAAGTTCATTTATTTTAGAAGGTCCGCTGACTTCATCCTTATCTCTGTGGGTTTTTGCACAGTGTGGTTTTTACACACTGTGTATGTACACCATTAAACTTCCCCTCTCAGCGCTCCGTATCTCACGGCCTCCTCCAGTCCTCCTCGGATGATGCAAGTGGAGGCTGATAAGTAGCAAGAGACTCCTCTTAGGCCCAAGACCCCTTAAGCTGCCTTTTTTCAAAAGCTTTCCGGAGCCTTTAAGATAGCGTGCATATTGACAAGTGCAGTGGTGTTGATAAGCAGATATAGATAACTGTGAAAATCAATGAAGTGGCAGCTTACCTTTAAGTCTCAGTGGAGCTGCTGGGATTCAGGACATTATTGGAGGCACCTTCAGCAAGGCTGTGCTAACGTGAGGCTTAACAGCGGTTTTCAGGTTGAAATATGTAATTGTTTGTACCGCCCTGCTGTGTGTGCATACATGTACAACACGTGTGTTTATGTTCATGTGGTAACGCTGGGGGCCAAAGATGAGCCACACTGACCTGCTTTGTGCTGATTTAATTGTTTCTGTATAAATAAAAAGCCCCCCAAAATAGGTTTGTATTTGTTCTGAAGCAGTAGCGCTCTGTTAATCAGGCCTTTGTTTACTCCACAGTGTTGCTTTTGAAAGAGGGAAAAGGATGAGAGAGGAGAAATCTAATGAGGCTATTTATCACCTTTTTCATTACTGTGTAAATTAACTTAATCTGACCTGTCATCTCGGCGGTTGTGTTAAAAAAACCAGTTGCCTAAACGGTAGAGGCTATTTATTGCAATCACAGCGACTCACATCCCTCGTGTAAGTGTGATTAATTCCAAGCCGTCTTCACAGTAACGATGTGGCTCCAAGCGTTCCCTGCAAATATGTTACAAAAATGATTAAGCTTGAGGTTTAAACTTTTGCTGTTTTCACAGTTTTTTTTCTCTTACGTTTAGCTCTCGCCATTGAAATTACGTGCAACTCTATGCAATATATCTGAGCCAGTGTTTATCTTGGATCGGGCCTGAACTGGCTAGCTGATTTACATATGTTACTTTTTATTGTGAACAGGTGTCCATCGCGGGGCAGCCAGGAGGGGTGGAGGCGGCTCGAGTAAAAATAAGGGTAAGTTGGAACTCGTCCACGTTTGTTCTTAAAGGGATACTCCACCCAGAGTTTTGACTATCAAACGCTCATTCCCTGCAGATTTGTGAGTTTGTACTTTTGACCTTCGTGTAGTGACTGTGTACATTTCTGACAGCTGATTTCAGCGTCGACCATTTTCAGTTGCAAACTACAGTAAAAACCAAACACGGAAACATCAGCACATCGTGTTTCATTCATGAGATTAGTTTTGTATTTTATGTTGCACATTATCCTTTCCCCGTGTTGCAGACTGAGATAAACTTGCCACAGATTGTTTCAGTGTCGGCGCTGCCATGTGCAACAGTCACACCGCACTTTCTCCCATGTATATTATGGCAAATCAAATCAAACGCTTCAAGGAAGAACTTTTGTTGCGGCTTGATGCAAAAAGAAAGCTCACATGGTTCTCTTTTTCCATGACTAATGTACAAGGGAACATAATTTACTCTGATTTAAGGGTTCTTGGATAAACGGACACAGAGTTTGTTGACGTGCAGGCTCCTCGTGTGCAACAGCAAAAACAAGGGAGGAAAACGGAGAGAAACACTGACGAGAGAGATTTAGCTGTAAAAAGAAAAGCGGCGTCAGTTATAGGGTCGTATAATTAATCTAATATTAATCGTGGTCATGCCTTTTTGCTTTTCACAATTAAATTAGCGTGATCGACGGCGATATTGACGTTTAAAACTTTGCTCGTGGAAAACAGTCTGTGTGAAAAAAACAAAAAGCCGCTTGGTTTTAACTTGTAAATCTGACATTAAAACTCCTTATTTCACTCTTTTTAAAGTATGTGATTTGGTCACACACCCATTCGAGATGCAGTAAATGAGTAATTGAGTGTGAAGATGGACGTCTGTGTGTGCAGCTGAAGCATTTTGGGAACGTTTTTATTTATTTTTAGCTCTGAGAGATGCTCTGAATTCAGGTAAAGATTATTTATGCAGATTTGTACATTAGCAGGAATGTAGCACAACATGAAAGTGAAAGCTGTGCTGTGTTTATTTAAATGTGAAAGTGCAATAAATATAATTTCTCTCTCAAATCAGTTAATATCCCTGGCTGATCATGACTTCAATGTTGTTAAAAATAATTGTGATCATATTTTTGGGCATAATTGTGCAGCCCGAGTCAGTTATTTGGAAATAGCTGCAGAAGGGATGATATTGAAATAGGTACTTTGTAGACAGTGTCTTGCAATTGTTGCAGCTACATGAAGCAATGCGACTGATATGTTTGACTATTGAAATCAGCACCACACGTCTCTGCATGATGAGTGCAAAGCCAGATCAGAATGCCATCCATCGCAAAAGACTGTTTCTGATGTTGCACCATATGAGAAACAGTCCAGTTTGCACCGAAAAGAAGCCTTCACAGTAAAAAGTAGCAAGAATTAATTATTATCAACAACAATAATTACCATTTTTTAATTCATTAATGCCCCAACAAAATTGCCCCAATCATTCTAGAATCATGAGTAATTTCTAAGCAGTTAATCAAGTGCTAGTACCTTTATTTTTTCAGTTTGCAGTGTAAATATGCAGCAGAAAAACTACATTTTTACAGTATCAGTTTTTCTTTTTCCAACATCGTGCATCCCTACTTTGCACACAGTTCAGCTGGATTGAACTTTTGCACATAAAATCACGAGGCTCACCAATGCATGCCACTTTGCGAATCTTTTTTTTTTTTTTTTTTTTAAATGCTGCTTAACTGTAGTGAGTGCAAGAGCAGTGATCGGGATTAATTCAAGGATTTGAAGCGTTTAATAAAACCCTGTATAAATATTAAACATGCAGACTGCTCTTGTCATCCTGTTAGCACCACTAGCTACCGCAGTTTATTTTTACAGCCCTGCCTGCGCTATAGTTAGTCTGAACTCCTGGTGCAATTTACTGATTGACTCCTGGATGCATCACTTAGGCAGTTACTTCATAAATACAGAAAGGAAGCATCAAACTTGAGGCAGTCATGTTCCCTATCTAATCCCCGCAGTGGAGGAGCCTCCAGGGTTACAGTAGGTAATTCTGCACTCGAGGCACAGTTTCAACACTTCCTCTAAGCCACAAGCACCATTCCTCGCTTATTCCCAGACCACTTCCCTAGAACAATTGTAAAATACAAGCGTGACCCTCAATCCCTTTGGCCAGCCATCCTCCAAACCATTTCCTAGCCTCTTCTGCATCTTCAGTTTCAGTCTGACTGGAAGCCCAACCTCCAGCTTCTGCTCTGTGGGCAGAGGGCCTCTGTGCTCATGTGAACTGCTACATGTCTGAACTTTTGCTGTATTTCAACACCGCAGCAGTTGTCTACAGTGAACACGTTCCTCCGCCGTGGACGGACCAAAACTAACACGGCTGTGTTTGCATGTGTAGAATGACCGAGTGAGTGAAGTGTGTGATGGAGAGAAAGACAGAAAGCGAAGCTCATGCTTGGATATTTGTGCAGTGCTGTGCCGGCAAATGTTGGAACGGCCGTACCTCTCCGTGATCAGTGGGTGTTTTCTTTAGCAACAAGGCACAACCTGGATCATCTACTTTTTTTTTTTTTTTTTTTCTATGGATGAAAAAAACCAATAATCAAACCTAACCATAACAGTGTTGTACAAAGGGGTTTATAACGTAAGCTGCAGGGAACCGCAAAGATTGTCAGCAGAAAATTGGGGCGGATAAAAAGGGAGCCATTCTCTGTCAGCTTGGCGTCGCTGAATGGAACCAGACCTTGATACTTGCCTAACTCTGGAATACCCAAATATCTGTGTATGCTGCTGAAACGTCAGGACTAGTGAATGTTATTTCAGTCTTTGAAGTAATGAATGAGGAATTTTAACAAACACAGAACTTGCTTTACAGGATTGTTCACCATTTTGAGAAATAAATACATTTTTTTTGCTGAAAGTTAGTTGAGACGATTATTTTTTGTGTGTACTCAGGCTGAAGTCTGAGCCAAAAGATTAAACTGCTTGCGTGGCTCTCACCAAAAGTGAGGCTTCCTAAATCCTTCCTATGAGCTTGTAAGGCAAGTTATCATTAAGAAAAACTCACTATAACTGTACCATTTATCAGAGCCAGAAACCGTAAAAACTGAAAGATTTTCAGCTTTCTGAAAGTCATTGAACTGTGACATGAAATTCCTCTGGCAAACTGAACCGAATCTAAGCTTTAAATCATCACATTTCAACAAAATCACTTTGTTTTACGGGTCTCATTTACAAATTTACCAAAAATACATATATCTTTTTAAAATTTTTGCACGTAAATCTGTAAATCTGTAATTCTAGCTACAGTGACTGTAACCAACAGTCACGCGACAAAAAAAACAAATCTGGGGGTTTTCTGTTGAACTGGGCTGAACTGCAGGCTGTGTTTACACAGAGCAGATAGCAGACAAGCATCCAAACAAATTCAAGATGTAAGCAGTAACATGAAATGCATGTGGAGCCACCATTTTTTTTCCCACTAGTAAACCCTGTGGACACTTGGAAATATTAGATTTTTGTAAAATGAATAACAAAGAGATGCAGCTTTGCTTTTTTCTTAGTTTTACTGCACAGAAGTTTCTTCTACTTCTAGCCATGGTGGTGCTGTTGACATGGAGCAATGGGAATGTAAAAATCATTTTAACTTGTAATACTACTGCTAACTTCAGCTATTTGCCTACTGGCCCCAGTTTCATATTGAACAGACACTTATGCAAGTGTTATTGATCTTTAGCTCAAAAAAATTAAAAAACAGTGCATTGCTCAAAATATGAAACTGTTCTTTCTTTGAACAGAGAAATGAGAGGAATTTGTGTTGAAACTGAGGCAATGGACGATAATGCAAGAGAACAGGGGTTACCTCAGTTCCTTGACCCCCTGCTGTTGAGGTTGCCAGTCCTACAATGTCTCAGTGTCTTCTGGGTGGGCTTCACACCACATCCTCCCCCAGCTTTCATAAAAAACAGAAGTGACTGTGTTGTGCTTTCTGCTTTAGCTGCATTAGCGGTGCATGTAATGTCCCTTCAGCACTGAGACAGTGGACTTAACAAGGCCTACTGTATTTCGGAGGCCTTCTTGGGTGGAGATCCGTTTGAGTCTGTAAAAAGCCAGTTGTTGAGGTGATGGATTCTTGGGGGATTTCTAGCAGCTTTCAGAGACGGAGCCAACAGGCAGGTGATGAAAGGTCTGGCCAGTCGCTTTACCTTCAAGATATTTTCATTTTTCTTCATCTCTCACCCTCACGTCAGGAGAACTGAGTCCTCTAAACTGGCCTTTCTGATTGAATACATGTGAAACTCATATTTGCCAGGTAGACCTTTTTTTTAAAAGAAAAGAAAAAAAAAAAGCTGAAGTCAGCTCCACCATAAAAATCAGTCTATTCTTCATTCAGCGCCTGACTCCTGCTGCTCTGCTTGTCCTCTCTTGCATTTCCCTCTGTGCTGACCTAAATTTCTCGAGCCCTCGGAGAGCGAGTGCTGAAACGTGATATAAATGTAAGGCTGAACGCATATGGGACTGATCAGGGATGCATTTCTTTGGTCAGAGCAATTCATGCTGCTTGCCCTTCACTGGCAGCCAAAACCATAGTGGCGCACAGCCCAAGAGTCAGTGTTTGGATAACTGTGTGTATGTGTGTGTGTGTGTGTTCGTTCTCTTTCTGCGTGTACATTCCCATTAGGTTGTCTGTGTATGGGTGTGTGCCTGTGATTTCTCTCGTGATCTCTCTCATGCATGCATAAGCATGTGTATGCATGGAGTGGAGCCTCCCCGTCACAATCTATTTTGTCTGAATGACGGCTGCAATACAAATGACACGAGCTGATTCGCGTTGCTGGTCCTGCGGTTTCATTCGGTGACTTGAAATTAATGCACGAGAAGGAGCAGGAAATAGAGCACTGATGTTTTTGCAAAATTCTAACCCAAATGTTTAAAATGACGAAACGGTGCGATAACCGCCGCCCCAGCGCACTGCAGGATACTTCGTGTAACAAAGGATGGCTATTATTGCTGGCACCGCTTACCTTCTTTTGATCACTTTCTGTGGATTTATCCAAGCTGACAGATTTACATGCCAAGTTCTGCCACCTTCTGCTAAAGGAAGGGTTGTTATGTCTGTGTGTCAGTTCACATAAATCTGCAATAAGTAAAGAAATCACCCTTTTCCTTGGTGTCTGAATAACACTACATTGTGCTCATACAGTGTCCAGGTTGACACGTTTTATTTATTTCTTCATGCAGCAGCCATAACAGCACAAGCTATCCAACTATGCATAACTTTCATCACAGTGTTTCACGTGTTCATAACAACATTTCCACTCCTTCTTTCTCTCTATTTAAAGGAGCTGCTACCTCTTGTGCTGTCTTTCGAGCTTCCGGCCATCATGCAGTCCGACCCCAGCTCCCCGACTGTGCAGCACATCTCGCAGACCTACAACCTCACCGTCTCCTTCAAGCCTCCGACGCGCCTCTATAGGGCCACCGGTGTTGTTCGCGGCTCACAGAACAACGCCAACGCAGTCAAGGTGAGGAGAGTCCTGCGGTGTTGGAGAGCTGTGTGCTTCTTTTTTAAAACTTGCCGGTAACAAAACTGCAGCCCAAGGTGGCATCGACAAGTTGTTTTTTCTGGCAAATGTTCCAAAACCAAAACACACTGAGTTTGCAAACATAATAAATACAAAAAAAAGGAAAGCTGTGAATGTTCATGTTCAACAGGTTGGAACCAGCGACTGTTTGGCTGGTTTGCTTCAGAAATGACTCATCACTGATGCTCTAATTTCCTTCTCAGTGATGTTTCCTGATTGTAATGGCAATATCAATTATGTTATAGTCCAAGTTTCCCAAGGGAAAATATAGACAGACCAAACAGCCAGTGTGGGTCGTGATTGATCCATTGAACCTGCAACCAGTTTCTGGGCGTTTTCTTTGCTCCTGTCACATTTTTACTTATTGTGGGTTCATTTTTCACTGCTTAATAAACTCCTGCACTGCTATGGAAACAGCACAGAGAGAACTCAAACATGTTTTCTGTGCAGTTATAATGCTATAAATTTAAAAAACAGAAAACACCAAAGTTGATGCTTATTTTTCAAAAAAATTGTAAAAACCTGAAATCAACATGTGCAACATTTTTCCAAGTGCCCACAGGAGTTTCTGGGGAAAAGATGGTGACCCTACATACCACAGATTTTGTGCTACATACAGTTTTCCATCCTTTTCTGTTTTCTGCACAGCCTGCAGTTCAGTCGAGTTCAGCCAAACTGTCCCTGAAGTTTTTGTCGCCTAACTGTCGGTCGCAGCCAAGTCGCTTCACATTTGCGCCAAAGAGTGCAGAATATTTTGTTTTTATACATAATCTGGTTAAAATAAACTATTTAATTTCAAATGAGACATGTTGAATCATGTGTTTTTGATGAACTATCCAGATTTAAAGCTTAGATTTGCTCAAGTTTCCCATCGGAATGTCACAAATGAGTAGTTCAAGGACCACCAGAAAGTTCGAAATCCAGCAATTCTTTCTGCTTCCACAGTTTCTGCTTTTGATAAATGGTGTAATTATTTTTGCAAAATTTTGTAAAGACAGCATGCCTCTTAAACCCGCCGGGGTTTTTTTGGTTTTCAGGGGGTTAAAGAGGCTCCAATAGCTAACTGAACCCTGACCTCTGCATTCCTTGTCAGTCATTTTAGTGTTGCATTTTTTTGAGTTATTCTCCACCCGTTTAGACGGCGAGCCACAGACCAAAATAAGGTTTCCTGAGCTACATGTCAAGGCCCACCAACACTGACAGAGTTCCTCACTTTTCTCGTATAAACCGCTTCATTACTTTCAGCACCACGGGGGCAAGAGAGTGCTGAGAGATGTTTGGTCGCTCCAACTGGAGGCTGCTGGTTCAGGTCTCCACTGGAGGGGAGACACACTGACCCTACTACTGTACCAGCAAGTCCAGAAGTCTCCCCTGAGTTTTACTTTTATTTTAAAGTGGTCTTGGAGTTTTTCTGTTTTTCCCCCCTTCTGCAGTATGATCATAATCATACTGTATATTTATATATATCTGTACACTCACACAGATGCATTTCCTCAACGGGCATCTGAGCTGTGGCTCGTTTAAGCCTGCCAAGGAGTTTTCTCATTACCTCTGCCAACAAATCACATCCACCAACTCACTTTTTTTTCTCTCTACCAAGCCTCAGTTTGACAATAAGGAGCTCATTTCACTTTTCCAGCTACATTTGCATTATACGCATCTCTTTGTGTGTTTATTCATGTCTGCTTGTTCATTTATATTTATATTTACATGCTCGTCTGCTTCCCCACAAATTCCTGTGCTCCGTGTACAGTAAATGTATGCATGCGCAAAAAAAAACGCTGCCCCTGAGTTTGTGGTAGGTCTTAGGGGTCAGTCGGGACCGGGAAGCGTGCCAGACAAAGGCTAGAGGATCAGAGGAATATGTGTGCAATGTTGTGCGGTGGTGTGAGACCCTTGGAACACCTTCAAGAATTGCCAAAACCGCTGTGGATTGTTGTCTTATGCTGGCCACAGTGTGTGGATTCCTGTTGCTCACTGGAAATGACTTACTTTACTGGGCCAAGTGATGGCTTGCAGAGACAGCGAGGAATGAGACTGTTCAACTTTGCCAGCAGATGCGATGGAAAAGACAATAGTTTCCATTGGTTATAGAGAGAGCGCTGGTGTTTTCTCTGGGAATTCGAGCAGCAAAGCTCCACTGCTCTGCTTGTTCACCAATTAGGTTCTAATGTGGTCTGGATATTACTCAGAATGAAATGTTGTTTTAGCTTCTTCTTTTTTTTAAATGACTTTCTTTTTTTACATGAGTTTCTGTTTATCTTTTAAATTATGTTGAATATTTTTCATTTCATTGTTGGTTGAATTTACTCATACGCACATCCAGCATCTCCTCTTACAGTTAGCATGCATCCAAAACGAGATGACGAACCTTTCTCTCACACTTTTCATTCTACAGCTCACACAAAATGAATGCTGGCAAAAGATGAATTGATTACTTGATTGACAGAAATATGGGTTTATTATTCAAGCACAAATGCCAAACATTTCCTGGTTCCAGCTTCTCCAGTAGGAGGATTTACTGCTTTTATAAGAATCTTTGGGTTTTGTTCTGTTGATTGAAGCAATTTAAAGTGATAATAAATGATAATCAATTATCTGTGATGTATTAATAAGAAAATTGTCATTATTTGAAGCACTGGCAGCTCAAAGGTTTTTAGTTATCATGCAAATAGCACCATCCTCTGTTAAAGGTGGTGAACACCTGCTCAGCATCAGCATGTTAATATCGTCGTCGTGATGTTAGCAGCACAGCTCAAACCGGTTCTGTGAGACTCCGCAGGTCTCCAGAAGGAATGTAGTCTCTTGTAAAAAATAATTGATGTTTTTCTTTATATGTCGATATAATATAAGCACCTTTGTCCCCCTTGTCTACCCAGAGAGGCACGGCTCTGTTGTTGGAGCACCTGGCCGGTAGCTTGGCAAGCACCATCTCAGTCACCACCCACCTGGACATCGCACCACAACACCACCTCTTCATGAAGGGACGCAACGGCAGCAACATCAAGCACATCACCCAAAGGACGGGAGCCCAGATCCACTTCCCAGACCCCAACAGCCCCCAGAAGAAATCCACAGTCTACATTCAGGGCACCATTGAATCCGTCTGTCTGGCACGGCAGTACCTCATGGTGCGTACCCTGTTGGCTTTATTGACGTCCATCGGTTGAAAAGAATGATTTTAAACTGCTTTGTCTTGTGGTTAACCCTCTGAACCCCAAGCAGCTTTTTTTAGGTGTTTTCTTGCTTCAATCACATTTTAACTCACTGTGGGCTCATTTTATTCACTGCGCTATAAAATCCTGCACCTCTGTGGAAACAGCACAACCTTGGCTGTAGGTAGAGAGAACTTAAAAATGTCTTCTGTGACACAGTTATGAAGATAAAGATAAACTTTACTGATCCCACAGTGGAGAAAGTTCACCGTTACAACAGCTCCAAAAGAAAAAGTGTAAAGTTAGTGCAAGAAAAAAACAAAAACAAAACTAAGGTTCAATTTCTTTGATTTATTTTGCAGAAATAGTTTAATTTTATGGTCAAACTTGTAAAAAGAATGATTTGCTGTTTGTAAAACTCCTGTTTTTTAATGTGAACAGTATTTAAGTTTGGCCTGTTTTTTTTAAAGCAGTTAACATATTGATTAATATCTATTTATTGTGCTTTAACAGTAATAGTTAAAAGATTACAATTAAAAACTGTTTTAAAGCATAAAAAAGTGGAATTTCTTTCACTATTTATTTCTCAAAAATTAAAAAAAAAAAACTTAAATTACCTGTAAAACATTTGTCTAAGGTCCCACAAGTTTCCCCAATACTAAGAAGGGTGACTTTACATACTTTAGATATTTTAATACTTAAGTTTAAGTTTTTCGGTTCTTTATGTACTTTTCTGCTTCCTGCTTTGCGTTAACACAGTCTGCAGTTCAACCTAGCTGAGCTGAAAAGTCACTTCAGTATGGGCTTCTGGGTTTTTTTCTTTTAGCAGAATCTGGGTTTATTTTTGCCAAATTTATGTGGAATAAAGTGATTCTGATTAAACATTTAGTTTAGATTAGATTGTTTTTCCTTACAAAACTGTCACACGTGATTAGAAAGGTGCACATCTGTCAAGTCTTACTGTTTTTACAGTTTCTTGTTTTGATAAATGGTGTAATTTTAAGGATTTTCTTCAAAAAAATAACACTGCTTCCAAACTTGCCGTCGAGTTTTGGGGTTCGGAGGATTAAGATTTGACATTGGCAACGTAATCCCTACATACACAGACTCCACATACTGTGTGGTAGCTATAATAGATGTCACTGTTTCATTAACATTATCTTGGTATGTGTGAATGATGCGTGGGTTTTTAAAGATAGGGGTTAAGAAATAAACCATGATTGCCTTGGGGGTTTTGAATAGCCTTGGGATGGATTTGCTTGGCTCCGCTCACTGCTGAAATGTCCATATGAGATAAACAAGAATCCGTAGCTGATTCAAGGTTAGCCTGTGTGATTTATAGCTGCTGCATACCTACATGCAAAATGGATATTTGCATTAGTTTGGCTTGAGTTCCTGATGTCCTGTCCATAGGCAGAATCCGTATGGATGTTAATGACAATGGTTTGGCCTGCATGCGCGGTTGGTTGGCATTCAACCAGTGTCTGTAATTCAGAGATTGCCATGTTCGCATTAGTGTTTTGGACCAAGGGTAGCACCTCATATTTAAATTTCTTTTGGTTAAGTATGCTCAGCGGTCATTCTTGTCTTGCTGCCTGCGACCGCTGAGGCTACTCTTATCTAAATTACTTAGGAATATAATCAGGAGTCTGTTTCAAAAATGTGTAAAAGTAATGGCTGTTTAATCGCTGCTGGCTCGGAGCCTCCTGCTGAGCTGGTGTGTATAAGATATCTGGGCTGTAAACAGCTTTGGCTTTCTGCTCGGAGATCCATAATGTGGGGCAGTAATTCTGCCGGAGCTGCCTTCTCTTTGTCTGCGGTCTCCCAGTTGGCCCCAGAGACATTTAGCAAATGCCAAAGTTGTTCCAGTGACTAAACATGACTTTCTCTTGGTGTGGAAACAGGACACACAAGAAGGAGCCTCTTTACTGCCTCACTTTGTGAGAGAGTGAAAAAAAAAATTGATTAATGAAAGACGATTTAGAGAAGAGAGGAGAAGCGTAGAAAGCAGGGGATCGGAGAGGATCTTGAGAAGGAAAACAAGGGGAATAGGTGAGTCCCTGAAAGCAGAGTGAGCGTACAGGAGGGGGAGAGGAGTCCTGCCCGCAGTAGTCTACTGTGTGATTTGGCCTCTTCCAGCCAGACTGTAGATTACAGCTCCAATCTCAGGCCCTGTCAGAGCCAGCCTGGCTCTATACTCTGCTGCTAATTACACCCACTCACAATAGGAGCGCTGTCCAGTTCTCAGCCCAAAATATAGATGTCTGTGGTGCTTGCGGTGGTGATCATGCAAAACAGATTGCTCTTGGCGGAATTTCCCAAGCTCTGTGTGGGATGAATCCAGCAGTGAATCTTGTATTTATTGGTGCGACTAACTTGTTGGTCTACAAATGGTATAGTATAAAGGAAAATTTACAACCATAGTGAGAAATGACCTACATTGCAGGGACACAGATGCACCAGCAAGGTTTTGGAAGATGTCAGCCTGCAGCCGACGTAAGAAAACAAGAGTTTGTTGCAGATATGTGTTTATGTTTGTGTTTTCTCCGCAGGGCTGTTTGCCTCTGGTGTTAATGTTTGACATTAAAGAGGACATCGAGGTGGAGCCGCAGTGTATCACAGCGCTCATGGAGCAGCTGGATGTCTTCATCAGTATCAAGCCAAAGCCAAAGCAGCCCAGCAAGGTATGACATCAAGCCTACACTCACGTAACACAGAAAGTTTTCGGGGAGTTTTAACCATGCTGGTAACATGACTATAGAGAACTGAAATATCTCAACAAATACCAGATGGATTGTCATAAAACTTAGTGCAGACATTCATAATGACCAGATGATGAATCCTAATGACTTTAGTGATCCCCTGACTTTTCCTGTCCTGTTACCACAAACTTCAAATTAGTGGTTTCATGGCAATCCATCAAAGGAATGGATTTAGATTTGGTTCAGACTCTCATGTTCCCCTCGAGGTTATGTGTTCAAAATGGTTATGCAGGTGCCGTTTTTGACAGTTAAGTCTTTTTTATATCGTCAGCAATTGTACTACAGCATAATGTTACCGTATTATAGTCAGAAAGCACTGATAAAGACAATGTTTTATTTCAATATTTTGGAAAGAACACAAGATTACAGTTTGAAAACATTCAGTAGGTCATGATGAAGGGAAAATATGAATTTGCTGCTTTTGCTGGATGAAAATCTTTGACCAACAAACTCAAATCCTGCTAATATGTCGTCTACATAATCATTTTGGAAACAGTGTTAAAGAAAAGTGGCGTTTTTATTTCTATAGAGAAACTATATATATCACTGCATTGAGTTGGTTTGCAGTGCATGGTTTAATGTCGACTTTTAAAATGCGTAAAACTCACATTTCTCAAAAACAAATGACGTTCCCATCAACCTTGACTCATCCATACTCTTAGCTTTGTACGTACTGCCAGTTACCAAGCGTTTGCAGCCTCCACATTGAGGACCCATTATGGACACATGTGGCTATAACCATTATGTCAATGCCACTCGGAGCACATTAAAATTCTCATATTAGGGTTTACCCTGAAAAAACACTGTTCCTAAGTACATCTTCACAGAGCTGCTAGCATGACTATATACTCATACAGCCCGTTTCCAAGGCAGGGATGAGCCTAGTCCTGGACTAGAAGAAAAATTCAATGATCTCCATTGAAAATATGTTTCAGTCTAGACCTAGACTCAATGCATATTTGTGAAAATGAGCCTTAGTCTCAAGTTAATATAAGGAAGCGTCTGAATCAGTTTGACTGTGCATCCAGAGTCATGCTTAATGAGTATTTTTAGTGGCATTAAAAGTTTTGTGTATAGAAAAAAACATTCATCTATGTGCATTCTTTACTTGGAATTGTCACCTGTACCTGGCAAAGTTTATGTTAAGAGGCATAGTGAGAACTTGGTGTTGGGTTTCCTATTTTATAAACCCCATTTCAGGCTCCCACTCCTTTCCACTAACTGACGGCGTCTTAACCTATCGGCTTCATGTCTGAATAAAAACACTGATTTATTTACTGTGAAAAGTCATCATGGTGAGCTTACCAGGTCGGATCTAGTAGCATTTCCGTATCACTTTCAACATGGCACAAACCTCAGCTACATGCAGTAGCATTAACAGATAGGTGTGCACGAGTGACGTTCCAGATGTTTGTAGGAGTGTTTTTCTCTGAGTTTCTTAAACCATGCAGCATCAGACAGCAGCAGCACTCATTTGAGTATCTTCAAAACAAGGGAGTTGTGCACATTTACACTGGTGAATCAACACAAATTAGTTTCACTACGTGGAGACAGGTTCTGACTGGAAGTCGCTCTGTGTACTTTTCGTCACGTCAGACAGGTGAGACTGGCATTTTGAATTTGTTTCTCTATTTGTTTCCTGTGTACACTGTGTAAACACAACCTGCAGATCAGCCAAAAATGCACTCATGACTTCTCAGTGATGGTTAGGGGTTTTTGTTGTTGTTTGTTTTGTTTTTTTTTACAAAATCTGGTTTGAGCAAATTTTTTTTTGAGTCAAAGTTCAAAATCTGCTGATTGTCTCTGTTTTACTGTTTCTGGCTTGTGTTGAGGTTCAAAGGGTTACAATATTAGTTTTAAATGTGCAGCACATTACAACAATGACTGCCTTCCAAGTCGTAGTAGCATAGAAATGCACTAAACATCCACTTAGATCATTAGCTGTAAACTAAAGCCAAGCACGGCTAAGTTACGGTAGAACCAGCAGTTAAATGCATTCTACATCTGCACAAACTGCGATGAGAAAAATTCACAAAGACATAAAATGGACGCGATTAATGAAATGAGTCAGTCCCACTAAAGCTAAACCTCCAGTAAAAAAATGAAAGTTTAGAGGAAACATATACAAACTTTTCACCCTGCTAAGAACACAGCTGCTGTCCTACTTGTTCAAATGCTGCGTCAGGCAAAAGCATTTAAAAGAAAAACAACAAATAAGCTGCTGTTCCATTTCATAATTACGCTCCATCAAATGTCAAAGCATGACATTGAAATAAATTATAGACCGCCATGTCACATTTCATCACTGTTTGTTGAAATCTGAAAGGAAAAAAAAAAAAGCTGGAACTCTGTACTGAGGGGAATCATGCCATACCAGCACAGAAGAGTTCTGGCAATTCAGCATCTGGCACAGCGGAGAATCACAGTTTGCTCTCTCCTCTGAACACAATCTGTCGTGTGTGTTTCACCTGATGGACAGAAACATTGAGTCTTTCTGTTATGACTCGTCTGTTCCAACTATAAAGCAACCGGCTTGATTTTTGCTCAATCAAGTGGTAGTTTGGAGGTATGTATATAGTCCATATTAGTGGAATATGTTGCTCGTTTTCATATTACATGGACACTCGCGATCGCTTACAATGTAATGCACCTGCTTTACATTCAGACCTCTCTCGCTCGCGGTAATAACACTTAATATTCCTAATCATATTTCACCACTTGGCCTGCTCCTCACTGTCTCTTCGAGGTGCCCACGTCCCACCCTGAGCCAGGGCTCGGTGCCCAAACCAGACATGCCTGCAGGGACTGGTGTGGAGGTGCCAGTGTAAACACTGACCCAGCCCAGATCCTCTTAAGAACCCTTCACTTAAACATTTTAACGAGGTGACAGCAGTAATCCAAAAGGCCTGTCCAAACGCATGCCATAGCCCTCGGTGCTCCTGGCACTTTGGCAGACCTATAAAGTGGCGTGTGTGTGTGCAGAATTGTGATTGGAAACCACAAAGCTCAAACACAAAAAGCCAGAAGATGTTTTTTTGTTTTTTATTTTTATTTTTTTCTCACATTCATTTTCAATTGATGCTTATGCAGGGCGGGGTTTCTGATGGTGTGGAAAATGCACAAGTGGTTTATTTTGGTGATTTAAAAATCAGCTTATCGTTGATTTTGTGCCTCTTAGTGTAATAGTCTTTGAGTCTCTGGTGTTGCTTCATCTACATATCAGACGGCGAGATATGCATGTTAAGCAATTGATTAAGAAACGCTTTCTCTCAAACTTTTCTCCCATGTCTTCTTCTCTCTCCCACACTGCCTCAATGTTTATCCTTCTAATCTACCCTTAATTCCCTCTTCCTTCCTCCCATTTATATTTTCCTCCCCCTCAAACTCGCTTTCACTCCCTGCCTCTGGTGCCAACATTCCCCTACACTATCTATCCCTCGCTCCTCCCCTTGTTTTCCTCTTGCCGCTCATGTCTGGTTTTTTTTCCCCCCTCTTTTTCGTTTTGCCTTTTGCTGTCATCCCGTTTTCCTATGATTTCCTTTTGCCTGTTCCACCTGTTTTTCTTGGTTTCTCATCATCCCTTTCCTTTTTTTCCCCCTCGATCTCTCCCAGTCTGTCATAGTCAAGAGCGTGGAGAGGAATGCGGTCAACATGTACGAAGCCCGAAAGTTCCTGCTGGGTCTCGAGAGCAATGGAGTGTCGTCTTCTTCTTCGCCCTCCGTGGCACTGAATCCCGCTACTAATGGTCCATCCCCATCCCTCATCTGCCCCGTTGGCCTGGACATCCTGGCCTCAGCTGGCCTGGGGCTGAGTAATCTGGGTAATGACACTGTCCAACTTCCTACAAAAGTGCTGCTTCTGCTTTTTTCTGTTCTTTTGCTATATCCATGATGGGAAAAAGATGAATTGGTGCAGAAAGATAAGACCCTATATTGCACAAAATACATTACAGATGGCATAGATATCCATCTGTACTAGTCACACCAAATATTTTCTTTTAAAATAACACGCATTGGAAATATCGCTGAGGCAGATATCTCCAACGCTCACCTGGTTTACTGAATCACTGAGTGCAAGTGATGTGCATTCACATAAATCACAGCCGGTGATGAGTCACGACGTCTCTGTACGGCTTTACAGTAGAGCAGAGCTGACCTCACCGTGATCAGAAAGTAACCTCAATACAACTTCAGTCGCACTTCTTTCAGTGAATCACGAGCTTATGAATCACTGGATGATTCTAATTGCATAGGAGCTTGTCCGCCTGACCTCAGCGTGGAGTTCAAGCTCGGAGCAGACGTCGGGAGATTTCTGTTTCCGCGAGTGGCTTTTAATCGATTTGTTGTAAGAGCACAAGTTAAGTGTTGTCTGACAAATATTTAGCCTCCGTTATCTGCTTTTTTTTTTGCATTCATATGATAACATTTTTGGGCTTCAGACTGTTTTAAAAACATGGAAACATGAGTAATGCATCAAAGGCAGATAGATTAAACTGACATGAAGGAGCTAATAGATGAAAGCATGTGCTGGCAGTAGATCCAACACAGTTCGTCTGTAGTAGAAGTTGAAATATTAATACACTGTGTAATGAAATGCTGATTAAAAGAGAATCAATGCGTTTTTCTGCAGCCATGAGGTTTTAAGTATGTCAGGCATGTGGGCTCGATTCTGTTAGAATTTTGATTTTAAAGTCTTGCACACATGCTTAGTCTGTTTTTAATTAGCGTCTATGTAGATATTGAGTTTATGGATTTTCATTTTTATTTTGTCCACAACAAATGACATGAGTAACTCGCACTTTAAATATTGGTCACAACAAAAATCCCCAATATGCGATCAAGTCCCACTACAGTAGAAACTTTTTTTTTTTTTTTGCTGTTTCATTTAAGCCCAGGGGCCTGGGGGTGAAGCTGTGGACGGCCACATCCTGGCCTTTAGTAATTGCTACATGCTTCTCTTCCTCAGATTACAGGCCAGTCTGCCAGAAAAATCCCTGGCCTTATTCCTGGAGCCAAACTAGCCCTTTGTTAAAGCCACAGACCTGCTTCTTTCTGTTTTCATACGCTGCGTTTGGGTTAAGACACCAAGCACCGCATTGTTGCTGCTCTCAATAACATGGTTTTATTGGGCACGAGGACACACCAGATATATACTTTTGCATCCGTGACCTTGTCGACATGTAAGACATTCTTGCTCTCACTTGCCGTCTGGTTGATGGCAGTTTGATGGAATTCCTGTTAAATAGCTGCAAGACCAAGATTATTTTCTGAGGCCCTTAGTGTAACGTGTGATTAGCTTGAAAAATGGCTCCGAGCTCTGACAGGACCACCGCTGATCTATCCGTCTCGCCGTTCTCCCTCTCCGTTCTCCTCAGGTTTCCTGGGTGCGACGGCGCCCCACTCCCTCCCGAACTCGGCTGCCCCGAATGCGGTTCTGAACAGCTTGAACTCCTCCATGAGCCCTCTGCAGACCCCGAGCCCCAGCACCCCCACACCCTCACCCTCCCTCTGGCCCAGTTCGCTCACCAGCACCCAAGGTTCGTAAACAACATTGTTGGTGTCTCCTCTTTTAGACTGGCATTTTAATTTAGATCCACTCGGATACTGCGGAGTATGACGGGGGCATTCAGTCCAGTCCGGTTCAGTTCAGTTTTATTTATGTAGCACTGATTTACAACGTATAAATAACGTCGAGGCACTTCACGCAGCGAGTGCAAAACCTTACAATGTGATACTAAAGAGAGAAACACAACAAATTCATGCTGGTATTGGGGCAATTGTAGGTATAACACCCCAGGGGCAGGAGGGTCATATTCTAAGAAAAACCTACAAGAAATAGTTAACTAATTTCGAAGGAGAAAACTTGAATACTTTGTGGGATGATAAAGTCCTAAATTTGTGAGAAAAAAAAAAAAAATTCCGAAAAAAAAAAAAAAAAAACCGGGAGGTTTTTTCGTTTATTTTTGTTAATTTTGTGTCAAGAAACCATGTTGCTTCACTTTGCACTGTTGGATCAATCTCTTTCATCCATCAACACATCTATTGATCACTGTATCATACAATATGGCCTTAATTCGTCATAGCAGTCCAACTTTCAACGAGCATTAGGCCCTTAGATGTTGTAACACTGCTGCATTGTTCAGCGCTGCACCTCAAGGATCGATGAATCTGACGATGTGTCGTATTGTGTCCTCCTGTCAAACAAATTGTGTCCATAGATTTAACCAGCGATAGCCGTGCTTCTGTCCATTGTGTTGTAAGTTCCTGATGCACAAAAGCTCATCAAATCAGTCTGCAGCTTTCTTCTGAATAGACCCAAATCGCTGCACTGTCGCTTCAAAGTCCAAAAGCTTGTGATAGTACGGTGATTCTAAAACCAGAAGTATTGATTTATAGGTAAATTGGATTTAGTTTGATTAGGTAATCCACGACAGGCATTGAAAAGATAAGCAGCAGCATGTGTGGTGTGATAAAGTTCATCCAATCTTACAACGTGAAGTGATATCACTCTTAGAACAGACCAGATCACTCATTTTTTGTTTGTTTTTTTTTTAATATCAAAGGGATTTTTTTCATAAATTTACAACTGAGTTTTTTCTCATAATATTATCAGGCTCAGTAATGTATTTATTTTATTACTTTTTGCCACCAACAAGCCTCATACACCATCATAGTAAACACACTGTGCATCATAGAAAAACATGCAACTCGCAAGTAAGCTTTCTAAGTCAATTACTTGACTCACAGGAAGCTGCTGACCCCTTTATCATGAGTTCAGTTATTTTTTTTAATCAAAAAGGAAACACGCAGACAGACGGGGGGCCTTTCGATGAACGTTTCCATTATGAACCATCTCAGTTTTAAATACTGCTGATCCAACATTCCTCTGTTTCAGGTTTCTCATCTCAGCTGATGCTGCATCCCGCCACTCAGGCCACATTAAGCAGCATCCTGCTGTCAGGCGTGCAGGGCTACACGCAGAGCACACCGTCGCCTCCGCCCGGCCTCGCACCCATCGACAAACAGCCCAACGGGGTTCCTGACTGCACTCTTAACGGGCATGTCAAGGTTGGCCTTGTTTTTATACTGAAGGCCGTATTGCTTGGAGGTAACTTTGAATTTTTTGCATGTGTTTTACTCTGTGTGTGAATGTTTGTTTGTGTGTCCCTGCATTTAAAGCACCCTGGCTCAGTCTATGGGAGGTTAGCAACGGCGTCACTTGCGGACACTGTTCTGAGTCCAGCTCCATGTGACTCGGTCCAGGAGGCCAGCGGACATAATCCATCAGAACCGCTGTCGAGCAAGTCCAGCCCAGACGAAGGTATGCCTCATAAAGACACACGCTCTCATCACCTCCTTATGTTGTTTGTGGGTTTTTAACCTTCTGATTTCCAAGCAATTTCTCAATATTTGGGGGGTTTTTTTTGCATCTGTGGGCTCATTTTTCACAGAATATAAAGTCCTGCACCTCTATGGAAGCAGCCCAACCACAGCTAGAAGTAGAGAGGACTCAAAATTGTTATGTTGCATAAATTTATAAAGCTATAAATTGTTCAAGAAAAAAAAAAGCTGAGTTTCTTCTATTATTAATTTTAAAAAAAAAAAATGAAAAACCCGGAAACAAAAAGGGCAAAAATTTCCCAAAGGCAAAAAAGGGGTAACAAAAACGGGGGGAAAAAAGTAATAGATCTACATACTTTACTTATTGCATTATACTATTTATTTCCATTCTCGTCTTCTCTTTGCTCTGCGTAAACTCAGCCTGCAGGTCAGCCAAGTACAGCCGAAAAGTCCCTGAATTTTTGTGATGTGACAGCGAAGTCAAACATATGTTCTTGGTTGCATTGAAGAGTTCAGATTTTTTTGTTTTTCACACAATCTGGTTACAGTGCAGAGGTTGTTTATGACAACTTTCTAAATGAGGCGAGCAGAATGAAGTGATTTTGATGAAATGTCATGATTTTAAGCTTCGGTTTGGAAGTTACTCCTGATTCGTTTATGGACCGTTGGAAAGTTGAAAATTTTTAACAGTTTCTCGAATAAGTTTTGTAATTTTGGCATTTCTTTAAAAAAAATGTACGCGCCTTTCGATCCCACCAGCAGGTTTCGGGGATCAGAGGGTTAATAGATGAGTCGTAATACTGTCGTTAGAGATAATAATAATACTCTAATGACCTACATTGTTTTACAGTAGTGTACTTCTTTTTGCAGAAACGTTGCCACTTCCGATTCATTTATGTCGAACACTTCACGTAACCTTATGGTTTATGTGTTTTCGTAACCTTGGCAGGACAAAAATTTTTGAGTTGTTAACATTTTCGACTCCGGTTTGCTGGACCTCAGCCTTGCAGACTTAACATAAATGTCCAATTTGAGCTTTTCCACTTGAGATTTATGTAACCCTAAAACCCACATTGAGGAAAATGCCTTGAGTGAGCTGCTTTCTATTCCTCTATACTGTCCTCCTAACCTCATACTCCCTTTGACTACGTTTATTGGAACGGAGACAGATTAACTGCTGGTCTCCTGGCGGTTCAGAAAGGCCCTCATTTCCTCTTGTGTGTTACACTCGCGGTTTTCCCCTCAAACCTTCACTCTCACGCGTCTCGTTTTTCCCCGCTGTTTTCTGAGCCGGTCCTCCCCCAATGTGGTGCGTCCTGGTAAGTTTTCCCTCTCCCTCCCTTTACCTCCTCCTGTGTCCCAGAATGTGTTTGGACTGGCTCGCTCCGTCTAGGTTCGACTCTGCGTTGTGGATTGAGGGAGTCCTGGGGAATTGTTCAAACATTAAACCCCAGAGAGCTCCATCAGATTGACTGACATCATATTATTTTACTCCATACGGTCCACGTACATTCAGATACTCTTGATTATGCCCGTGCATACCCTCGCATGCCTGCACATCCTGTTACACAGAGCAGGTTCTTGTTGGGCTAGAAGTGGACTAGCAGATGAAAACCACTGTAATCACAGCTGCTGTGATTTTAATTAATCCAGGATCTGAGGAGACTTGTCAGCCTTTAATGCCTGCAAGCTCCACAGTGATTTACGCTGACTGACCCAGTCACTGCTGCGTGTGGCACAAACTGAAAAATGAAATGCGACGTGACGTATTTCAGCTGCAGTTGTCGTATCGTTGCGTGAGCGTAATTAAAATCTGCTTGTGTTTGTTTCCTCCAGGCTCTGACACATTCGTAGAAGTGGGCATGCCCAGAAGCCCCTCTCACTCGGCTAACGGGAGCGAGCTGAAACAGATGCTGGCTTCATGCAAAACGTCATCAGGGAAACGACAGGCCGTGGAGCTCCTGCAGGGCACCAAGAACTCCCATCTACAGTATGTTTGAATCCAGAGATCATTTACAGCTTCTCTCCTTACTGTTTACTGTTCTTTCAGAAACCATTTACAGCTCATGCTGCTTGGCAGGCCTCCATTAATTCCTTTATTCGTAGGCTAGAAAGACGACTCCAGAAACACCGGGATGAAATTGCATTTTGTGGCATCAAACCAAAGCCTACAGAGTTTTATTTTTAGATGGTAATACATAATGTGCCCCATATGGAGATTTTGGAGTTTAAATATTGTCTGCCATATGGACCGCGTTACACATGCTCACCTTGGACAGTGTTGTTATTACGATATCCAGCTGTATCTTGTACCTGCTCAAATCTGACGAGCCTGGAACATTAACAGCCAGAGTGATAATGTGAGGAGAAGATGAGATGGAAGGAAAGTGAAGCAATGCCTTACGCTTCTCTTCTCTTTTTTTTTTTCCCGGTACCTTTTTTTAAAGCTTGTTTTCTTCTCTCACATTACAAAATCTGTGTAATTTCAACAGCTCCGACTGTCTCCTCTCGGACGCCGAGTCCAGCTCGTCAGACAGTCCTGTGGCGGACAAGAGGGCGCCGGGCAGCGAGCGGGCGGCCGAAAGGGCGGCGCAGCAGAACGAGAGGGAGAGAATTAGGCTGGCACCGCAGACTTCCTTTGCCAACATGCAGGTACACACACACACATTAAACACACATTAGACACACAACATAGACAGCTTTGTTGGTATTAAGCAGTAAAGGAATAAAACTGTCTGCTGTGTTTTCAGGCTTTTGACTATGAACAGAAAAAGCTGTTGGCAACCAAAGGTAAGCTGACATTTGTGTCTCATGAAGCACTACAGTATCATTAGCAGGATGTAGCCCATAATTTACCTTGGTGTAACGACAGACTGCCGTATAATCTAAAGGTCTAAACTGCCAGTAGGTTCATCAACATTTATTCATCCACTGACAGAGCATCTTTGAAAGACGACTCCATTTACTTATTTTCCCATAAAAACGTCCAGCTATTTATCAGAAACGTTTGGCGTTGTCTCCGTTCATGTTTGCATCGCTGCGTGTCTGGGTCCACACAGCAATGTTAAAGAAGCCTGTGGTGACGGAGGTGCGGACCCCCACCAACACTTGGAGTGGCCTGGGCTTCTCAAAGTCGATGCCAGCTGAGACCATCAAGGAGCTGCGGAGAGCCAATCATGTTTCATACAAACCCAGCATGAGCACCACGTATGAGGTCAGATTTACAAGATGTCTGTTGCATTCGCTGTGATTTGATGCGTATCATAGAAGACTTCATTACTATATGCAACAGCAGATGGGTGTCGAGATGCAGTGTAGTCACTCTAAACTCTGCAGTTCTTTCATGCAGAATGGTTTCCTAAATGTTTTGGATGTTTCTCGTTATATTCTCTCTCAGGGATCCCCGCTGTCCCTGTCTCGATCCAGCAGCCGGGAAGGCGTGGGCAATGGCAGCGACTCTGACAACTGGCGAGAGAGGAACGGCACCGGTAATGGCCTGCCAAGCCACGCTGAGTTCCCCTCTGCTGTCAGCAGCCCCAAGAGGAAGCAGAACAAATCTGGTCAGCAAAGAGAATTTCTAAGTGCTACAAGCACTTTACATTTTTGGCATCGATTGGAGGACTTAATAGATTAAGATGAAAAGGTCACACTGTCACTTTTTATGTTGGATGTACAGACTGTAATAATGGACTGTAAAAGACCAGATGAAATATCCTCCCTAGAGACACATGAACTCGTCTGACACTTGAAAGTTTCAGTGTGAGCGCTCAGTTTAGGTCGGCTCATGTGCATTCAGTGGTTAATGTAATCACTTATTTATTCATTTTGAGATTGAAGACTTGAGCTAACTTCCACTGAAGCTACCTGCTACAGCGATCTGACTTGTTTCTAAACAGGACCTAGATTTGCCTCAACAGTCTAAACTTAAAGCACATTAAATATGTTGTTTTAATGACAACCATGTGATCACTTTAAGCTAAACATTCTGTCTTTATATGCCTTTTGCATCAGTAACAGCTCAGATGTGAGGGAATTATTGCTTCTTTTTTTTTGCTTACATCATGTCATTTCGTTTTTTTCTTTTGCTTTCATCTTTTGCTGGGTAGCTGCAGAGCATTACCTCAGCAGCAGCAACTACATGGATTCCATCTCCTCAGTAACTGGCAGCAACGGCTGCAGTCTGAACTCATCTCTGAAAGGCTCAGACCTGCCAGAGCTCTTCAGCAAGCTGGGACTGGGGAAGTACACAGACGTCTTCCAGCAACAAGAGGTAAACAGACTGTGAAGCGGCTCCTTTCGGTTTCATGTTTTTCATTGATGCTGTTGAACCGCAGAAGAGCAAAACTTTCACTTTCATCCATACAAGTGGTGTGGCTGAAGGGATGCCGACAGTGATGAGTCACTTCCCCACTTTGAGCAAGTTTTATATGGATTGCTGTATCACATTCATGATCTCCAGAGGATGAATGTTAATGACTTTGGTGACCTCTTATTTTTTCCTCCAGTTCAATCATGAGGTCAAAGTTATTATTGTTAAACATCTGTAAAACTAACAGCATAGCTCTCAGCCTTTACTGTACTTTGTCTTTAAGTAAATGCTAACATACGAGTTATAACAGTATAAAATTATACCCAGCATGATAATGTGAGAATTCTAGCACAGTATTTGCAACTAGCATGCTGTAGACTCTAAGCTGTGTTAGATGCTAACCGATACAATATTAGGTGGAGACAAGGGGGAAGTGGAAACTAAAGCTATTAGTTGCAAATGGAAACGTGTCCCTATAATATTTGAACACTTGTGACTCTCCGTCTGGCCTCTGAAGTACATTGCTGCTTGAAATGTTACCCTTCCTCTGTGCAGTGTGCTCTTTTCCAGTGTCTTTTTAAATGTAATTTCCATATTTTAAATGTAATACGAGATGATAATGCAGGAATTCAGGGGAAATGTGAAGCAAGAGGTTCACCACATTTTGCTGCATCAAATGTGTTGGAGGATGGGATGTGCTTATGTGACACATTTCAGATGAACTTAGTGTGTTTGTTAGAAAATCTGAACTTTAAAAGGGTCCATCATAGTGTTTTAGTCATGGGTAGATATTTGAATATATTTGAGTGAGTTGTCACTTGTTGCAGTCATGACAATTTTAGTAAAAAAGTCTCCTATAGGTAGAGGTGTCTGAATGTTGTTAAATGAACTTGTTGCTGCTTCCAGATTGACCTCCAGACATTCCTGACCCTAACAGACCAGGACCTGAAGGAACTGGGCATCACCACCTTCGGTGCCCGCAGAAAAATGCTGCTCGCTATCTCAGGTACACATTAAATCACACGTTGCATTTAAGATTTAACTGCCTTTCTGTGCTATTACTTGTCCAGTAAAGCTAAAATTCACCAGAAAACATCAACATAAAGACAGATATGATGCATAGAAACCAACGTGCAACCACCTCCGTCCCAAGTTGGTCCTTCACCACGCAGATTATCGGTAATAGCAGCTGAAGTCTCGTCCTGCCAGCTCACTTCTGCTGATGGCAGTGCACACAAATTGGCTTATGTGTTTCATTAATGTTATTTTGTCTGCAAAAAGCCTGAGTGGAGCCCAGCTGTGCAGTCGGCTAAAAGTGTACTCCCACCAGCAAAGGTCATCTCCACTTCAAACCGCTGGATTTGGGAGCTAATAGACGGCCCTCATTAGAGCCAGAGTGTAGTCAGCAAGTTCTCCACGGTAGTATTCTGCTAATTTAACTTGAAGAGATATACGAAAACACGTTGCAGTGATTTCCACCAGCAGCAGTAAATAGGATTAAGTCAAATTCTTCTCAGATGAGTGCATTGTTATTTCACCAGCTGCTCCAGCTGCCTCCCTGATGCTGATGTAGGCTCTGCCCCTGTTGTTGCACTCCGTCTAATGCGAATGTGGTGGGTGTCACACTTCATTACTGGCATCATTCCTTGGATATTGTAATTGCTGAACTTGTTAGGCTGCGTAAGTTAATCACGCTCGTGCTGGGATCATGAGCTTCCTGTCATGGGTATTCTGTAAACGTTGAGTTCAGAAAACTCCGACCAGAGCCGGGGGTTGACAGCGAGAGCAACGAGGGGAAATGTCGAGGCCAGAGCTCTGATTATTAAGGAAGCAGAGTGATCCAAAGCCAGAATTGGTTTTTGCTGCCTGTTGCCTCAGCCAAGAGCAGGTCAACTTTCATCTCCCCTGACTGACTCAACGGCTTCAAAACAGGAATATGCACGACTCTGTCTGTCTCTTTGTCTTTCTGTATTTCTGTCTCATAAAAAGATGGAATACCAGTCAAGGCAATCCAGGTTTTAGCTTCCTGCCGGTCTGCCAGTAAAAAGAGCTGCTGGAGCGAGTTTTCTGTCTCCAGTAATCAAACTGAAGGTTTATGCTGGCAGCAAAAGAACACGGCTATCATATGAATAACTCCGAGATGCCAGGGTGTTCCTCTGACATTTTTATGAAGGCGTTTTGTCCAAACTGCTGTGTAAAACCAGATGGACACAAAGAGGGCTTTTGTTGATCCCAGCAATTCTTTAGTGATTTGAATCCGATTTTCTTGTCACTGTTGATCAATAGAGGCCAAACAGAAATGTTAACACACTCTTTGCTTGTATTTATTTCTTTACTTTGATTTGGTTAAATTCTCATACCAACACGAGGAGAAGTTTACCGCATTAAAAACCATGTTTGCTGATGTTTCGTGGTACGTTTTTTGTCACCTCCTGCAGAACTAAACAAGAACCGGAGGAAGCTATTTGAGCCACCCATCAGGTCCTCCTTCCTGGAAGGGGGAGCGAGCGGCCGCCTCTCCCGTCAGTTTCACGCCGACATGGCCAGTGTGAGCGGGCGATGGTAGGAGCCTCCGGGCCAAATCCCAAGAAAACCGTCCATGAAGGAGACCGGCCTCCAGCGTCTCTCAGTGATGCCCAGGTTTCAGCGGTTGCTCACCCTTTTTCAACAAGACTGTTCACAATGTTGCCATATAGTATAAATATGTATATGTTTAAAAAAAAAAAAAAAAAAAAAAAAGAAAGAAAGAAAAAAAGCCATAGTTTTACATGAAGTGCCAACAATAATGGAAAAAAAAAATACATGAGGTTCAGTGTTCACTCCATATAGGCCCACTGAGTCTATGTGGAGCTTTTCTATATGAAGGGTGATGTTTTGAAAAAGGGTACTGTCCAGTATTTCTGTCCACTTTTTGTTCAAGGGAACAGGCAGAATGATTAGTACAATCATTTTACCCATTGATACTACCTGCATTTGTATTATGCTATCGTATCAGTGACATGCACTTTAATAATACTAGATTTTTGCCTGTGAGAGCCTTATTCCTTAGATTGAAATAATAATAACTATGCATTTTTTTTTTTTTTTTTTTATTGACTAAAAGCACAGATGCATTTTGTACCAAAACCAAAAGTAAGCACTTAGCCAGTGAGATTAGGGCGCCACCAAATGAAGTGCAAAACCAGGTCAGCACACGTCAAGTGATGACTCGATCAACTTTAACACGTTATACCAAAGTATCGTTGTGGCCTTTGACCTTTCGGCTGCCTTCAGTGTTGCGATTGGTGGACATTCCTCCGAGGTCAGTGTTCAACAGCAGTTTGTCTGTGTATTCCAAGACAAAATGGAAAAAAAAAAAAAAAAAGTATTTTGTACTCATTATGCATTATGATTTTATTTTTAGTTTTTATTACCATTTTAGGCGAATGAGTGGAATGTTTATTGGTAATCAGTTTACATATGTATTTTTTATATGTTCATGAATGAGTTTCTATGATTTTTGTAATTAGTTTACTAGTATCTTTTACTTTTTTTTTGTTTTGTTTTGTTTTTGTTTTGTTGTTTTTTTTCCTGCCCCTTAATCTGTGGAGCCATGATATGGCTGTGCCATTAGACAGCAGCAGAGACGCGAGGCAGTTAGGCTAAGCTTCATAGGCCTCTCTCTGATTGTGTCAACAGGCATCTTTCTGTGGTTTTCCTGCTCTGTTTATCGTACCTGATCTTTTGTCTCATCTGTTATTTGTCAGCGATGGCCTCCCTGTGGCCCCTTTCGTGTGCCTCAGATCTCCCAATACGCTCTTGCATGTTTCTGGAACTTGAGATGCCAGAACTGTGCGCCTTCTTTTTTTGTCTTCCTATTAACTGGCTGTTCCATTTAGAGCAAGGAAAGACCTCATAACAGAACAAGGCCGTGCCTTTGTAGCGAAAAGTGCCAATGTACATAACTAGTTTTTCAGCAGGGAGATATTTTGTTAAGAACACTAATATTTTGGTCTGACCTTACTCTCCAGATAGGAGGTGCATCACACAAAGAACCAGTTTGTTCACAGCCAAGTCGGTTTCGTACGAGCATTTCTGCGAGACACAAACAAGGAACCAAAGTCACCAGAAGGACTGCGAGATTTAAGATGAAAACAAATAAGAATCTGGATTTTTCTGCTATCCGTCATGCGATCCAATATCCCAAAAACCTGCTTCAGCAGTGTTTAATAAAGTAACAGGATTATGCATGCCGCAGCAGAATTTATCATCAGAGCTTGTGTTTGTTCTGCACTCCCATATTATGTTCAGTCATGTGTTTTAAAAAGGGAAAACATCCTTTTCCAGCAGTTCATTAACTTTGGATCACTCAAAGGGTTTTTTTTTGTGTGTGTGTGATGTTCCTAAAATACTTCTGAGGATTTAGACCACAAGCCAATCCATCATCCAATGTCCTGAGCATTTTTCCAAGTGCAATTAAGTGCCTCTTTGTATTTTTTATTTCTTTTTTTTTTGTGTTCATATTTGCAGTTCAGTGAGTATAAAAGCCTAGACTAAGGAATCTCTTATCTTGGTTTAAACGAGAGTACAGTGTATAAAATCTATAAAGTATGTAGAGGACACTAATGAGAAATTCACTGCCGAGTGCATGAACGTTTATGTCAGCAAATTGAGTAAATACAAAAAGTAAAAGAAGTTCTTGTACAATCTCAAAACAGAGACTTTAGAGTCACAACGATTCCCTTTGAGGTGATTTGTCGCCTGTCACTTTTAACCACTTTTCCACCCTCCATCGCATCTGATTTGAGCCATTTTCAATGTGGTTGTCAAGTTAGTAACACTATAAGTAATATTCTGACATGGTTGCCGATGTCGACCAGGCAATTCTTTTTTTTTTTTTTTTTTCCAGTAAGGTCTTAAGAAAAGAGTTGGGGTGGGGTGGGGGATAAAGCTAATATAGAAAAAGGATTCTTTATTGTGAGAGGAAACCCGGGGCCGGTTCGCCCCCACTCATCATGGTACTACATTGAAACTGTTGAGCACTGATTCTCCCAGTGCTGTGACTCGTGTTCCTGCCTAGCAGACATTTGTTTTTTCATCCTTCACCTTGTTTGGATGCGTTTGCTCGGAGGGCAGTAGAGGTTCTTCTCTTATCAAAGTGAATGTTGTTTGAAAAGAAAAAAAAACCTATTGATTCATGTTATCGCAGCTTGATTACGGATCAGTGAAGGGACTCACCAAGTCGAAACGTTTACTGCCAGCTTGTCTAGTCGTTGCCCTTGATAGAATAGTTTCACAATTATGTCTTTGTTGTATTAGTCATGTTGTTGTTCCCAAAGGGATTTATTTGAAGGAATCTTTGTACTGCAATCAAATGGTACATTTATAATAAATGTAAACCACTAAGAAAACGATGTATTACACAACTTTTGTACAACTTTTTCCTCTTATACGACCTTTGTTTTTTTGCGTGAGAAAGGTACAATTCTGCACAAAGTTCCAGAGAAGAATTTGTGTACAAACATTGTCATGTGGCCAAAGCTCTGTTCACTGTGGCATCTTTTGATGGTATTGTTATTCTAACTGTATTGTAGTACAGATATAAACAGAAGACATTTTGGAGAAACTGTCAAGCAGGCAAAAAAAAAATAAAAATTAAAAAATGTTTGTTCAAACATTCAAATGGTATTATGAAGGTATTAAATATATGCAAACAAAGTCTGTTTTTGGTTTTCTTTTCTGCGTATCGCACAGAAATGTCAGCGTCCTTAACTGTCCTAAGCTCATAGAAACTCAACTCATTATCTGAAAGCTTTTCGAACTGTTCTGCTTCTGGAAGCCAAAAAAGCAAAAATAAAATGTTGGCTGCACCAGAGCGCAGATTTGGAAGCCCTTCCTTTGACCATTGTTTTTGATGTGGCATTGTGAAATCAGCACATTTTGTTGTAAATATCACAAACACCAACAAAATCCCACTGACAAATTTAGTGCCCATAAAGAACGAAGCTCGTAATTACGATTGTTCAACCGCACGCCACTTCATCTTTATCTCAGTTTCTCTGTCTGAAAGCCTTTCACGGTTAACCACGGTCACAAACACATTCACACTCTGCAGGTTGAGAGACGAACCAGTCCCAGCGCCATATGGTTTCTGGTGACATACTTGCCTACGTGAGGCCTAAGCCACAATGCCAGCATCTGCCTAATCCAACAAAATGAATCTTTTTGCCTGACGGAGACTCTTCCAAAGACATAATGCATGAGAGCAAATTCATTTTAAGCCGTCATCTGTCCCGCTGAACACGCAACTGGACCATGAAAACACTATTTGTCTTCTTCCCTTTTTCCCTCTCTTTGTTTTTCAGACGTTATCCGGGTCTAATAGTCCAATTTCTTCACGACGATTTGCCAGGAAAAGATGTGAGCAGTTTGAATTCAGTGACAAATTCAGCCGTGACGCCTTTTGTGGCACATTTTTGTTGAGTCATAATAATGTCTTTTATCTAATGTGATAATATGAGCAGCTCAGCGAGATGTCTGCATTAGAACCAGGCTTGGTTTAAAGCTTTGTTTGCTGCCTAATTCTGCCGTCTTCAAGGCAACAGCACAGGCAGTGTTGTTGAAAAACTCAAGGGGGCAGTGTTGCCACTAAAAAGGGACACTTGCCTGGAGAATGGTAGCTCAGCAACAGACTATTAAATGGTTAGAAATGATTCACTAGCAATTCAAAATTACTCTTTTGCGGGATTTAATATAACATAAATCAAAAGAAAGGTCTATTTCTGTAGCATACAGTCCACTGCATGCATGTGAACATAATACAAAACAATCACTTTTTCAAGCTGTTTCTTGCCGAACTGGATTCAGCTTTCCATTTTTATTTACCTTAATTGTGCCAAACCTCATCCACAGTCCTCTCTGATTACAGCCACAGATTAATGTTCAGATGGCACACAGGGAGACAGAGAGAGTCTCTCATCCAACACAAACGAGCCCTCAACAAAAGCAGGTGGTGCCACCCAACTATGTTTTCTGTGGCAGCTTGTGACTCACTCACTTTCTCCTCCTCTGTCATTAATTTCCACAGGTGCTTTGTGAAGTTAAAGAACACTGCACACAGCCTCCATGTTTATATAACACCACAGAGATGTAAATACTGCTGTGTTTAAAAAAAAAAAATAGATAAAAAAAATGAGAAGCTCGGGGGGGATTGTGTAGGAAGGATGTTAAGAAAATATTTGCCATGGTGTCTGCTGCCAGTTCCTCATATGATAAACAGACTGTATTCATGAAATCTCAGGAAAATAGTCTCGCTTCTGCAGAAACAAATAGATTTTTACCTCACAACAAAATACGAAAAGAAAGGCTATTAAATCGCAAAGATCAAAGTCTGCCTTTGTCCCACTTAGTATAATTACATGTATGGCACAGCTGGCAATCATTCTCAGCGCCCAGCATGACTAATTTCAATTTCATGTTCCATTGTAAGAGAGGGAGACAGTGAAGGACAGCTAAATTGCAGGGGGAAAAAAGAAGTGATGGGCTTTTTATCACTAACCAACCATGCATTTACTCAGCATCCTGGTAGCCTCCCCACTTAAAGAGCAGCAGACTCTACAGCATCGCATATTGTTCGCATTGGCAGCTTGCCTCTGCAGGAAAGGTGTAAATGAGGAGAGCTGCGACTGGGTTGCTACCTCGCCGTACCTGGCTCTCCTCCAGCGGACAATATGCTCGCAGCAGCTGATAAGTCTGGCTCTTTGTGTCTTCTTCTTTTTCTCCGCACTGTGCACAACGGCACAAAGGCGGGATACGCTTTTATCGTTTGCATATATGCAGCTCCTTTAGCAGTAATATTATTGTAGCCTGTCTTTAAGGTTATAGTGCATTTGAAAACTTCCACACCTTTATTGCAGTCCTTTGAATATGTGAACACCGTTAGAAGCTTTATTCTTCTTAAATGCAATAAAAGAAACCAAAAGAAAAAACCCTTTCAGTCTTTTTTTTGTCTTCTTTACATTTCTTTCCCTCTCACTTATGGATGTAAGGAACATTTTCTTTTTCAGGACTGGCCAGGATATCAAAATAGCTGTTTTGTTTTTCAGCAAGGAAATTGTTCTCCCAGCTCCAAATAAGACTTCACCTCTTTGGACTGCTGTCAGCTGTCAGTTCAGTCCATGTCTGACTGACGCGACCAACCGCCCCCTCCAGTTTTCATTAGAGCCAAACCCTGGTGTCACCCCTGGGTCTCGTCCATCTGTCTGAACTCCATCAGGAGGATATTTGATAAAAACTACATTTCCACAATGAGATATAATTGGAAAATGTCTTCCATAATGATGCCTCTTAAAGGATTTGTTTTACAATGCACTTTGATGCCAAGAAATACACAAGACTACTGCTACTACTCGTGTGTATGTCCACGAAATATGGAATTAAACAGCCATTTAGGTTGGTTTAGCCTGAAAGCTGGCAGCGGAGGGACATAGCTGGCCTCTGACTGACCAAAAAAACGGCAACAAAAGCCACCAATGAGCACATTTAAAGCTGGTGAAATAACATGCTATAGCTCGTTTGTTTAAACGCTGCAACAACAGAAATAAAAAAGAAAAACAACAACAATTTGTGGTTTTTTCCATTTCTTGGCCAGACGACCAGCAGAGACTCCAAGATGTTAACGTTCCCAGCCAAAAAAATAAACCAGCATATGCCCCCCTGTAATAAAGGCAATTCAGTGTGTTAATTTGTGAGTGTTATAGATGCTGATAGGTGGGAGACAGGATGGCTGCTTCTACCCCCCTCCTCCTCCTCCTCCTGTTTCCAGTCTTAAACTAGTTAATCAGCTTCTAGCTAAATATTAATCTCCTCATCTAACTCACCGCAACAAAGCAAATTAAAGCCGCAAGCGGCGATGGACGGGTCCTCGCCCTACGCTTCTCGGCCTTCGCGCACGACGGGGTGTGGGGCAAACCTGCTCCGGGCGGGACTGTGATCCGGCATGTCGAGTTTGGGGCAGATCGGAGCAAGTGTGGCCTAGTTACGAGCCACTTCCTGTTTAGTGGCGAGCCGCGGCGGCGTGCGTGTTGGCCGGGGTGGAAACGCGCTCTGGCTGAGACTCGGAGCACGCGTGTAAAAT